TAATAATTTTGCAACGTTTGTGGTACAATGTACTTCGGTTTCTAATATGGCGGTATCACTTCATTGGGCGAGTTTTTAGTTGTTGTTTTGCTAATTTAAACCTATTGTTGTTCATGGTGTCTTTTGTCGCCATTGTATTTGCTTAACCTCCCTACTGTATGAAGGCCCTCCAACCACCTCTGTTTTAAGAGTTGCCCAACGTTTAGAAATACTCTCACTTACAGAAACACGTTCCATACTGTTCTCAGGGATATACTTGAATGGCCGCACACCTCCTATAGGACCTGTAGCAGGTCATGCTAAAAATCCCATATTACCTTTCGGTCTTGGCTTAAACTTTTTGCTCAGTTTCTTCAGACAACGTTTTTTGAAATACCGTAGCAGTATATAGACTAGTTTCTTTCATATCGTCTTTCAGATTTAACGCTCACGTGGACAATTGAAATTTATGTGCCAACGGCTAGCCTGAATTTCAGATATGTCTTCGAGTCGCTTACTTCCTCAAAGACTTCGTCTGTAGGTATGTGAAAAGGGTAAGGGTACCTTGTCTGTCACAAATGGAATATGAAAGGGCTAGGGGTTGAACCCTTGGGCGATAACCTTCCCAAATGAAATTTGTTGAATGGCCCCCCGGCGCTGTGCTTCGTGCATTTTGTGTCCAATCAGAAGCCGGCTTTCACCGAGTAATTTGGAAACTGGATCTGGTGAGTCTCTGGACCCTTGTGCTCTTCCGACCGTGCTTGAAAAGCTTTTTCGCGTCATTTCCACAACCCGACTGACTGCCTCTAGGTCGGAAGAGGAATCCACTGATCGGGCTTCAAACTCTCTCCAGGCTAAAAACTAGTCTGAATTTCAGATGATTACTTCGAGTCGTTTTTTCTCTCAGCTAGGTCTGAATCGACCAGCCATTAATGCCGTCCAGTGACGTCACCAACCGAAAACAGGGTAGTGATTTTGGTTGGCTGCTTGTCCAAACATTAGCATAATTATGTATAATTACGGATCGAAATGCACCAATTACATTACTCGTCTTCATAGCCAATAACATCACGGCTTAACTGACAGACGGCCGATACTCTTCCTATTCAGGACTACGTTCACCCAGACGATCAAACTCAACCTTCTTTTGATGTTGGATTCAAACCTTTCACAATAAAGAATCATTGCGGAGAGTTGGTAGGTTTTTCATTTAGAGCCGCCTTGAGGTTTTGGAGTGGCTTTGTTTGTGCGAAGTTTTCTGAGATTTAAGTTTTAATTCGACCTTCTTCTCATTTCCACTGTCAAGTGTAATGATTCGGTTAGCTTTTCTTTCTTGTTTTCGTTCTTCTTCGTTAGGACCAAATAGATTTGATGTTTTTTGAAGTGTTTCTTGTGTGTCAGATTTAAGCTTATTTCATCGCGTGAGTGTGATCGAGTTTGATTATTGAATTACAACAGATTCGTTCAGAGTACCGCATGCAGTTGACAGTTTAAATGTTAAACATAAATAGCAATCAAAAAGAATAATATTTAAAAGCAATTCGTTTCTTTGCCAGTTTAAAGTCATATTTTACTTTTTGCATGAATTAAAGCAAAGGAGTAGTGACGTCACTGGACTGCATGAACGGCCGGTCGATTCAGACGTTACTGAGGAAGTAAAAATGACTCAAAATAATCGTCTGAGATTCAGGCTAGTAAATGATCTGACTACTGGACCTTTGTCCAGTAGATTTGTTGTAGTGTATTTACTTTATGTAAAGGGGAGGTAGTGTGGGCCCTCTGTAACTGTATACAACAGTCACTGTGTCATTTTGAATTTTTAGTTTTAGTAATTGGAGATCCCTGCCCATTGTGCGACCATAGGCTTTACTATTATCAAATGACAGAAGAGGAATATAACACATGCCTAGGTTATGTACCATTGACTCACTTCAAAGTGGTTAATATGTGTTGGACCCAAAAAAAGACTGGCGCCCAGTTGCTCCAAAGACCGATTAGCACTATCCCAGGGTTAGATTTTAACCCGTGTTTCTTTTTCCTTTTAATCAAAAGCATTTTGTCCGATAATTTTCTCTTTTTTTTAAGAAATATCAAATCACCAAATTGTAGACAAAAGGAATTCAAATGAATTTGTTTTTAAAACTTTCATATCTGAATTCATATTTCGTACTAACCTTGGGTTATCTTAACCCAGCTTTGAACAAGCCAGCCTGGAAGGATAAATGCTGCATGTTAATTTGTTTCACCACCTTAGTTTTTTCTTTATAGCTTTAAACTTTTCATGATCCAAGGCCAACTCAGAGCTCCTGTAACCCAGTAGGGGTCTGTTCATTTTTTAAGGGGGGGGGGGAGGGGCTTTGTTGGGTGGGATTTGACCGGTAGCTCCTGTGTATGAAGACCCTCTCTTCATCAGAATTTTTTTGGGGAAGCCACAACCCCGCTCCTTGTATCCCAAGATCAAATATCCAGGATTCAGGTGAATTTTAGCCAGCAAAAATGCTATGACTTTTTTGGATTGAATAGGTAGTACTTAATGAACAGTGAAACTCAAACTTAGGGTTGCGAACAACAAAGTGAGAAAAATTAGCCTTTCATAAATTTGTCAGCTGAGTTAATGTTCAAATAAAGCTTCACCATATTTTGTTGTAGTATTAGCTGTTGGGTTTTCAAAATGTGGTCATTTTTAGGAAGCCGGCCATCGAGATGTGGTCATCTCTAGGTGCATGGGCAGTCAAAACTACAACAAATACCGGTTAAACTAAAATTGTTGGTTTGAATTAAGTTTGTTGGTTAAATGGCCATGAGGAAATTATGTACAAGTGAATAATCACAACCCTGACTTTGAAATCCACAAAACTTTTTATTTTGGACCAAATTTGATTTTTTAGTATGATGTACAAAAAATACAGTAAATGATCTGACTACTGGACCTAACCTTGTGTTATCTTAACCCATCTTTGAGCAACCCAGTCCAGAAAGATAAATGCTGCATGTTAATTTGTTTCACCACCTTAGTTTTTTCTTTATAGCTCTAGACTTTTCATGATCCAAGGCCAACTCAGAGCTCCTGTGATCCTGTAACCCAATAAAGGTCTGTTCATTGTTTATTGTGCAGGGGGGGGGGGCATTGTCGGCTAGGATTTGACCATTCGACCGGTAGCTCCTGTAGATCCTCCTTGTATCCCAAGATCAAATAACCAGGCTTCAGGTGAATTTTAGCCAGCAAAAATTTCATGACTTTTTTGGATTGAATAGGTAGTACTTAATGAACAGTAAAACTCAAAATCAACATTAAAATCAGTTAAACTCAAACTCAGGGTTGCAAACAACATAGTAAGAAAAATTAGCCTTTCATAAATTTGTCAGCTGATAATGTTCAAATAAAATTGTGAGCAGTTTCACCATAGTTTGTTGCAGTATTGGCTGTTGGGTTTTCAAAATGTGGTCATTTTTAGGAAGCCCACCATCGAGATGTGGTCATCTCTAGGTGGTCAGTCAAAACTACAACAAATAAGTCCCGTATGATCTATGCCCCTAATATTCTAGAATCAGTATAATATTGTCAGAAATATAGAAAGAACCCTGCAGTATATGTATGACAACCCTTGAAAAACACAATATTTTACACCAACGTACAATGAGGTAATTTGGTTCCCTTTATGCAGCTTGGAAGTGAGCATCATGTAATATTAATGAAGATGAATTTACAGCCATCCAACCACTACATAGTTCTCATTTATAGGTGTTATCTTTAGTTTAAGGACCCCTGTGGTATTTTATTGCTGTGCATAAGGAAATACCACTTGTTAAGATGTATACTGTCCCATAAGTTGATAGAGGAATTTTTATGACGATAGACAGGGCCGTAGCCAGAAAAAAATAAGGACTGAGGCAATATCCATGGTTGAATTCCCCGCCTAGCTATTCAGGGTCTTTATGATGACTACGTTGAAACAAAACACTGCCAGGATCAAACCTTAAATGACTGAGGCAAGTGCCTCGGTTTGCCTCACACTGGCTATGGCCCTGACTGTAGGAAATACAGTGCATCAATGATCTGACTACTGGACCTTAATAACGAGTAGATTTGAATTAGTGTATTTGCTTTACATTAGAAGCCTGGGAAAGGTTTATGCCAGGGGCGCTGTCAGAAAGGGACACTTTTTTCATGCTTCAGGTATGAAAGGATAGGGATTTCCTGAGTTAAAGTATATGATTGGGTAGACTATCTGTCATTTCGTTCTGTAAAAAGACTAACAGAAGAAATTTGTGACTGTAAAATTGCCAAAAAAATTAACTGGTTTCTGATTCCTTTATATTAAAATGACAGTGCACATAAAACAGTTAACAGGAAAGATGCATGTAAGGGGTTGGACCTCTGGGCGGAGTCTCACAGCATGTACAAAATTTTATTGTAACAATGTAATGTTACAGTTGAGATTGGAAATTTACTTTAGTCACAAAACGAATCGAACATATAGGAAATGTCACATGCACATCACCTTTGACTGTCAGCAAATGTTATGCAGTTCACTATATTTGCTCCCCTTGCAAATATGGATAATTATGATGCAAATGTGCAAATTTATGATACAGCCAAATGTCTAGAAATTTATTGTTTTCGCTCTTAAGGCAAATACGAGTAAACCACATGCAGAAGTGTTCTTTTGGTATCCTGGAAAAACAAGAGCAAACACCACTGCAAATTAGGGGTTTTGCAATATTTTTGCCTGCATTTAAAGTAAAGTGAAAACTGTCATTTTTGCCAAGGATGTAAATTTGAGTAAATTGGTAGAAATGTTGAAGATTTGCCCATGCTGCAAATATGTATCAAGTTTGTATCAAACCATTACATTTACTTCACTTTTGCGTATCAATACCTATCCAGCAAATATATGTATTTGGCCACACTTTAGCCGACAGCGCAAATTTAATGCAAATTTGGAGCTCCAAATTTACCACATATTTGCACCTTTCGCAAACATTGGTAAATCCGTTTTTCGTCCAGTGAGTGATAGAATTATGTTGATTAAATACTGTAAACATTTTTAAGTAACGTTCCCAATTCCAGGAATTATTTTAAGGGGAATGGGGACAAGTTTTCGGCAAAATGATTTCTCGAATCGTTTGGGTAGACAAGCGTTTCTTATGATTGGTTAATGGTTGCCTTGAATACCACTAGCTATGCACACCAAAACGATTCCAGAACCCACTGCACATAAAGCTTTTACATGTACCCATTCTCTCCAGAGTTTCTTAAGTGCTGGGTAATTATATCCCTTGATTTTTTTAATTAATTTAACCGTCAGGAAATTATCCTTTTTTCAGGCTTTCACAGGAGCTTCCACTTCATGAATTTTCCAAGTAGCCGAGCGTTTTTTAGTTACGTTAAGTCAACGTTCTATCATTCCTCATTTGCTCACTGCTAATATTCAAGTTTGATGAATTTTAGCTTTGGTCTTGACAAAAGTTATTAGACCTGAGTAGCCTAAAGAAAATGCCTTCAACAAAAGTACAAATGCACATGCAATATTTTCTTGCACTTGTGATAATAGTGATAATCATCATCTGTGCTTTATGGATAAACACATTTCAGCCACGATGGCTACTACCTCTTAAAAATATGAATGCATCTGCATCGATCTCGAAATTAGACCCTGGGAACGGTGAAGTGTCCTCTTCATCACCATTAAACACTACACGCGTTGTACGAAGGAAATGGTCCGTGCTTTTGGTCTACACTGGTTTTTTCGGCCAGCAAGAGTGGTTTAGAATCACTGAAGATTGCAAATCACCACAGCTAAACGGGAGCTGTTCAAAAGATTTGTTTAATGTAACTTACGATAAAGGCCGGTTTCTTGAAAGCGATTATGTCTTGTTTCACGGTAGAGACATGCCCAGTACAAGTCACATGAGAATGATTTGGAAGAAAAAGCCTTCTTCGCAGTTTTGGATATATTTTCTCGAGGAAAGTCCAAGAGCTACTCCTGATACGAGGCCCTTGAATGGCATGTTTGACATAACCATGACCTACAGAGTTGATTCCGATATCTGGCAACCGTACGGTTCGTACGTAGAGATTCCTTTAAAAGACCAGAAAAACGTTTTACAGGAAGATTTTTCGGTTGGAAAAACCAAGCTTGTTTCCTGGATGGTTAGCAATTGCAACCCTCAGCTAAGAAAACTTTTTGTTCATGAACTACAGAAATATATTGCAGTTGATGTATTTGGATCGTGTTCAAGAGAATTTGGCCAACCAAAGTCTTGCCCAAAAGAATCATGTAAGGACATTATTAAAAAGTACAAGTTCTACCTCAGTTTTGAAAATGCACTGTGTAAAGACTACATTACTGAGAAGTACTGGTCACATTTGGGTGAGTAAAACGTCGCTTTTTCTTTTGAACTTAAAAAACTTAATCATGCAACTTTTAGGGACTCTTACAAAACTTGCTATGCAAACAGGGGGTTGGGGCGGGTTGGGGGAGTCTATAAGGAACTCAGGAATCTTAAGCTACGTGCAAATGGATGCAACAACTCCTACCAAACAATGTTGAGAACTGTTGCGTCCGTGTTGGTAGTGGTTTGCAAACGGATGCAACAACTCCCAACAATGTTAGCCCATCACGGGTGTTGGTCCGTCACGCGAAGTTATTGCTTTGCTGTCTCCAAGGAGACCATGTGTAATGCGCGTGTGTGGCCCCAACAATGTTGGGAGAGCTGTGCAATATTAGTGCGCTACGCTTCGTCGATCACGGAACTAAAGAAATATTGGGAATTGCGCAACAACATGCAACAGGGTATGCAAACGGACGCAACTTGTAACAACCAACAATGTTGCGTCCGTTTGAGCGGGGCTTTACGGCTTGTTTTATGGTTCTCAATACTTTCGGTTAAATGGGTCAAAGAGTTAAGCTTCGGCTAAACAATTAATCATTTTTGTCAGGTCTAACATGGTATTGATACGCCTTTTTACGGTCTGACTTTGTCTTACTGCAACACAGGTGACGAGAATATTGTACCAGTTGTGATGGGAGGAGCAGACTACAGCAAACTTGCTATTCCAGGTTCTTATATCAATGTTCTGGATTTCAAAACTGTGAAAGATCTTGCAGAATACCTTCATTATCTCGACAAGAACATTACAGCTTACAACGAGTACTTTAAGTGGAGGAAAAGATACCGTATGGGCGGGGATTGGTCTGTTCTCTGCCAATTCTGCAAAAAAGGAAGTTCGTTAACTGGGCTCCAATTAAAACACAACCAAGATCTTTCTGACTTTTGGGTTAGACAAGGGAAATGTGATGAAAAGGACCAACTTGTGCGCAAGATGTGGACTGCGCACAGTAGTGTGGTGTATTTATTAATTTTAATGACTCTTATTTTAATAACAATTTTAGTAATAGCGTTAATAATAATTTATTATACACAGATCTACAAGGTAACGTGATTCTCAATTTCACATGCGTGTTAGTTACGAACTTTCCTAGATTACAGTTTAGTCATTAATTTTTTCTTAGTAACATAATACTTGGGTAACATCGATAGCTCTCTTATTTGTCTGAATCTTAATTATTTATATGAAGATATGTAATTTCTCTCTTATTCACATTTTAAAATCCTTGTACATAATTTTAAAGTAATTTTTAATTTTTAAATTTTTATCATGTAGTCGTAATTTACGCAGTACGTAGGGACTCTTTTGATACCAGCCAAAGGCTGATAGGGATACCCTGCCTAAATAAAGTTGACTTGACTCTACCTGACTTGAATTACAATATAGGACTAACCCACCCTCCTCCGATTGGCATTCATCTTGTTTAACAGTGGTACTTAACGGAAATACTCAACCAACCAAACAGAGCGAGGAAAAATTAATCGAATCCTATTCAGACAAGGCTTTTTTGGGCTTCCAAATACCCCTTAGGGAACACGAGCTATATTTAGGAAAAAGAATAGCGCAATATTACCCAGGGTACCAGAGGTTTTTTCTTGCGTGCTACGAGGAGCTTTGTCGGCCGAGGGCGAAAACACGAGCGGCGAAACCGGAAACCGGAAACCGGAAACCGCGCATGAAAAGCCTCTGGCACCCAGGGTAGCGCAATATGGGCTCAACCAATAAATGCATCAATGTGACGCCATAATGACGTCATATAATGACATTGTGTCAATCCAACTGTATTGTGAGTGAGTGCGTGAGTGAGTGAGTGAGTGAGTGAGTGAGTGCATTATTCTGTGCAAATTTGGTGGCCTTATCATGAGGGATTAGGGTCCCAGGAAACCCATAAGCGGATATTCTCTCCCCTCTGCAGTGCAGTACAAGTTCTTTCGCGTCGGTAATGCGGTAGACCGGCTGCACGACTTTTACTTCTCATGTTAAAACGCCGTTTCTTCGATTCTTTCGTAAAGGCGGTGACCGTATTTATTCGAATAAGCGCCCAACCTCGAATTAGCGCCCACCTCGAATAAGCGCCCATCCTAAAGGCAGAAAAAGTTAATAAGCGCCCAGCCTCGAATAAGCGCCCACCACACCCCACCCCACTCCCGATCCAGCTCAAACTCAATAAAGCGTCTACCCCCACCCCACCCACTTTCCCCCCTCCCACCCCCCCAAAATTGAATAAGTTCTCCTGAATAAGTTCTAATAAGAGACTTCCCTGAAGACAGAGTTTTCTTCAAAGTATTTTTCAGAAACCTTGCTTTGTTACATCTTCGCGTTTTGTTATTACCATTTATTGTTTTGTTGCAAAATAAACGTACTACACTTACTGAAAATGTGGAAAATTTAATAAGCGCCCAGCCTCGAATAAGCGCCCATTCTCAAGGTCCAAAATTTTAATAAGCGCCCAGGGCGGTAAATCGAGTAAATACGGTAATTATGCCGTGGAGAATTTTTAATTTTGACTGAGCAAGTATTTGTTTTTTTTTTCAGCTTTCTCACATTGGAAGGTTGTGAAAGGCCAGTAAAAAAATATGATTAGACTTCTGTCTTCACAAAGTTCGCTTTCCTAATTAAAACTGAACGATGATATCCTTCCTGGCTACCGTGGCCAGGGTGAAATAACTCCGCGTGAACAGTACGGATAGGTGCTGCGGAGATCGGTCCGCTCTATCGCTATTTAGCCCATGCAAACAGATTTAACGACACGTTAGTTACCCTTTTCCTGCAAACGGTTCATCCCAGCGAGTAGTGAAAGGGTTCAAAACGTCCTTTTATGATCTTATCTGAACTTTTTTCATGGCGTATGCTTTACTCAAAGGAATACAGGAAGGATCATTGCGTACTGTATTTCCTGACAGGACTGCAACGGAATAATATTTAAATATTTAAACTGTATATAGCTTTTCCTTTTGTTATAAGATCTTATAAGCATTTGCATAACCCGTTCTTGTTGATCATCTCATTATCCTTTCGATTAGCGAACTCCCTATTGAAACAGTGACTTGAATTTTCTTTGCATTCAAGTGATCATATTATATAGACTGGTTGCTACGGACACATTTTTTTCAAGTCAGGTAGGAAAATTACTTTCGCTGTACCGTTCAGTTGAACGCTAAGAAACAACTAACTACCTTGCCCAAGGAATGTGGTTAGCCTGAAACTAAACTCCTTTCTAGGACTACATCAGGCATAATTTGCTTCCGATCTATACTAATGAGTCGGTGGATTTATGCTCTTATATGTATATACTTGCTAAATGCTACTGGGGTAACTGCAAGGAAAGAAAGTCACAAGCATAAACTAAACCGACCATAACCGCTCTAATCTGGCGCTTGGCTATATCAAAATCTTACCGTGGTGTCTTTACCCAAACAAAATCACGATGAACTGAAATTAGATAAATCGTTTACAGATGAACTGAGAAAATATACTTACAAATTAAAAACAGGCCTAAAACTAAGTTATTGGTACGCTTATTTCATGTGCCAAACTTGTTGTTTTGAAGTTGGGTTCCATCGGAATCTATTGTAAACCTCTAAAATTATGAAAAAAATATCGCGAAGATCTGAATAGGCACATTCCCCAAAAGATAAACGAACTCGCCTCGTTGGCACTTGCCGGAAGGTACCGCTAGTTTCTTGTGTAGTTTGTGTTTGTATTTAGGGGCTTTCGACACATTCACTTTTGCCCCGCTTAACGTCAACTGGACGTTTAGGGGGGGAGGGGGGTAAGGCAGTGGACGTTAGTGCGGGGCATTTTTGGACAAAAGCAAACTGATGCATTTTCATAAATTATACGTCATGTGTGGAACGGCGCTCGTGACATAATAAAGAGAAAGCAGGACCAATTAAAGAAGTGAGTGTAAATTGTGATCTTTTAAACTCTGCCCTTAACTACTACCAAATTGTACGTAAACTCTGTCCTAAATCACTAATATTTTTTACAATACCAAAAATTATGGTTAGTTACGTTTCCTTTTTTTCTTGTGCTGATCGAACAACAATTTCCCTCGGGGCTTGACCTTTGTTTCTCCTTACAAAACGTTCTATAAACTTTTCATATTTTGATTTTGGGTCTTTGTTTATTAAGTTCCCTGCACGTTTATTATCTTTTGCAGATGTCCCGAACAGGGTAAGTTGCTTTGACATCTCCAAACAAAAAAACAGAAGGCACGTGCTTTCAGAGTAACGAAAGAGTAACGCATACGTGAAGTAGAAAATGAAATGCCGCTGGCCAGTAGCTTTGTTTAATAACATGGCGGCCGACGTCTTGTACCAGCGATTCTGGCTTTGACCTCTGAATACTGTAGTGTAGTAGGGAATCAAAAGCATTGACAGGAAAAAGCAGTTATGTAGATTTTGCAAGAAAGCAGGTAGGACAAAGCATAATTCGATGTATGAAGTTTCTACCACGTTTTAAAACAGTAAATCGGTGACAAAGGGGCACCCAACGACAATTTTCGGAAAATATCTGTTCGGAAGACGATTTGAGAACTAGAATTTTCGGAACATTTGTTGTAACATTGTTTGCTTGCATGCCTCTGCTAGGATTTTCGAACATCTAAAAACTACTATAATTGCCCATTTTTAACGGATTTTTACCCTTAAAAGGTCGCCTAGAATTTTCGGGAGCCTTTTTTCTGGCTGAAATTTTCGAAAAGGTAAGTTTTGATCCCTATAATTTTCCTGAATTTTCGGATCACTTAACTTTCAGCTAGGAAATCCGATAGCAAGTGCTGCATTGTTGCGCGAACGCGGTCGCTAAGCTTGAATATTCACGTCGCGTATTATACCTGGTAGTTCGCGGTCATATCGAAGCGTAAAGGTCAACAGTGGTTGTTGATGAGCGAGCAATTATTGTGCAGTTGCGATGGGTTTTGTGGAGCCAGCGAGCAAGAAGCAGGAGCACACGTTACCTGCAGATTAGCCGATGGCAATTTGGAGCGGATTTGTCGATTATTCTCGAATTTATAGCGCTTCGTGTGAAGGCGCGTGGAGATGGTCTGTTTGTTTTGTAGCCAGCCTTTAATTCTTCTTTAGTAGATAGTACCTACAATTGCAAAACTCAACAAAATGCCACTTAAGCCGGCCAGGAAAGACAAGGATACGTTCAGTTGAAGGTATCTTAGCTTTGTTTTGTTATATTTCGACTTTTGGACTATTTTAGTTCATGGGAGTTTCGACGACTCATCGCATTAATTTGTCCATGTGAATATTATTATATTCATTCAGTGACACATACTACGTCTGGGCCGCCTGTGGTCAGTATTCGTACTGGAATGCACTGATTTTTGGGGCAGCAAAATTTCAAGTCGACGTTAAGGAGGGGAAGGGGGGGCGGGGTCTGACCTAAACGACCAGTAACTGGTTGACGTTAAGCGGGGGAAAAGTGAATCTGTCGACGGCCCCTAACTTGCCGGCGAATTATTTAGCAACTAAAAATTTTGCAACGTTTCTCATAATGGCGGTATAGCTTCAGAGGCGACTGGTGAGTTTGGCAACTCGTGCGTTCAGTGCTTTCTAGCTTGTAATCGTCTAACGACGGTTTCCAACCTTAATACATTGAAAACACTTTTCAGAGTATCCAGTGTACTTTTAGGTCTCTAGAAATGCATTCTAAGCGGCGCTATAATCGCGCTCATCCTAGGGGAACCTGACTCTTTTCGAAGTTACAAGGGCTTCGGTACCGTATTATTTTCTCGAAAAATTTAGATTTAATTTAACCTATTAGGAAGAAACGAAATCCTCTTTCCATCACACTTTTGAATCCGAAAATTTTCGTTTTTCTTTTCTCTACAAAAGCGAAATAAATTAAAATAATGAAATAAAGTGGGGAGTGAAAATAATGTGAAAAAAATTAAACTTCAGAAAACCGTATGAGTGGAGCGGTCACCGAGAAACTTTAAGTTTTAGCCATCCTCAAGTAACAGAAAATTCTAGGCAATCAGTTTACTTTTCAGAATAGATATTTTAAAGAAAACAGTCATTAGGTGCCCCTGTTTAATCGCCGTTGTCTCAAAACGTATTTGATTAAAAGGTGTACAAGGGCGATTTGGACAATTTGAAAACAGCTGAAAAGTAACGTCTGAGAATCTGAGCCGCCAAACGATTTCAGACGTTACTTTTGTGGGTGGAGGAAATACGTCTGTGTTAGCAATCTATTTAATAATCGCACTCGTCTGGGATAGACCTGGACTAGTACTGCAGTCTCCGTGCAGTCTATCGCTGGGTTTGCACAAAATGTCACAGTAAACATGCTGGTTGACGGAGGTTAACCCTTCTTTTCATGAAAATTCTTCCAACAAAAAACATTACAACAGCATGGCTGCCTCGCCTGTAGTTTCAAACCAAGCATATACCGTAAATCCTCTATTAAGACCCCGGATTTTTTTAAAAGCACTTTTGAGGGGGGGTGCTTAATAGAGAGGGGGGGGCTTTTTTAATGAAGCGAAACCCATCAGCGGCAGCAAAAATACCATAGTTAGAGACAGAGTAGACTTACGTGTAGTAATAGTCTGAATAAACCATAACTTATCAAGTTCACATTAACTGTTTGCGAAGAATAAGGATGGAGGGAAGGGGGAAGGGAGGCTTATTAACTTTCCTCCTCTGAAAAGGGGGGGGGAGGGGGGCTTATTGGAGAGAGAGGCTTATTTGACAAGGGGGGCTTAATAGAGGATTTAAAAATGTTTATATCATCTTTCAGATTTCACGCTGACGTCACCAATTGAAATTAATGTGCCAACGGCTATTCTGAATTTCAGATATATCTTTGAGTCACTTACCGACCTTACTCCCTTTGAGAACTCGTCTCTAGGTATGTGGAAGGGGTGCCAATTGTCAATAGAAGGTAAATGAAAGGGGTACCTTTTCTCTCAGAAATGGTATGTAAAAAGGGCAAGGGGTTGGACCGTTAGGCGATGCCTCCCCGTATGAAATTTTGTTAAGTAGCCCCCCCAGAGGGCGTGATTTGTGCACTTTTTGGAAATGATCTGGTGAGTCTCGAGACCCTTGCGCTCTTCCGACCGTGCTTAAAAACTTTTTTCGCGCCGTTTCCACAACCCAACTGACTGCCTCTAGGTCGGTAGAGGAATCCGATAATCGGGCTTCAAAGTCTCTCCAGGCTATAGAATTATTAGAATTATTTCGATTAAATAAATCATGTAAACATTTTTAATCAACATTTCCTCATTCCAGAAATTATATTAAGGCAAGAGCCATAATGGCTCTTGATTAAAGGGAACTGGGACAAGTTTTTGGCGCAAGGATATCTGGGATCATTTGGGTAGACAAGCGTTTCTTATGATTGGTTGATAGTTACCTTGGAAACCATCGACCAAATAGATTTGCCCACCCAACCGTTCCCGGAACTCACTGCATTAAAAGCTTGTTAGTTATATTTAATTTTTGAATTATAGTTAATTGATAGGAAATTATATTTTTTTTCAGGCTTCCACTTCGTGGCTTTTTCATGTATCCCGGAGTTTTTGAATTACGTAAACTCAACGTTCGATCATTCATCATTTACTCAGTGCTAATATTCAAGTCTGATAAATTTTAGCTTTGGTCTTGACAAAAGTTATTGGGCCTCAGTAGCCTACAGAAAATGACTTCAACAAAAGTACAAATGTACATGCAATGTTTTCTTGCACTTGTGATAATAGTAATAATCATCATCTGGGCTTTACTGCCTCTTAAAATAGAGTTAAAAAAAAAGAATACATCTGCATCGATCTCGAAATTAGACCCTGGGAACGGTGAAGTGTCGTCCTCATCACCATTAAACTCTACACGCGTGGGTAGGAAATGGTCCGTGCTTTTGGTCTACACTGGTTTTTTCGGCGAGCAAGAGTGGTTTGGGATCAATGAAGATTGCAAATCACCACAACTAAACGGGAGCTGTTCAAAAGATTTGTTTAATGTAACTTACGATAAAGGCCGGTTTCTTGAAAGCGATTATGTCTTGTTTCACGGCAGAGACATGCCGAGTACGAGTCACATGAGAATGATCTGGAAGAAAAAACCTTCTTCACAATTTTGGATATATCACATTATGGAAAGTCCAAAAGCTACTCCTGATACGAGGCCCTTGGATGGTATGTTTGACATAACCATGACCTACAGAGTTGATTCCGATATCCGGAGATCGTACGGTTGGTACGAAGAGATTCCTTTAAAAGACCAGAAAAACGTTTTACAGGAAGATTTTTCGGTTGGAAAAACCAAGCTTGTTTCCTGGATGGTTAGCAACTGCAACGCTCAGTTGAGGAAACTATTTGTTCATGAATTACAGAAATATATTGCAGTTGATGTATTTGGGATGTGTTCGAGAGAATTTGGCCAACCAAAGTCTTGCCCGAAAGAGTCATGTAAAGACATTATCAAAAAGTACAAGTTCTACCTCAGTTTTGAAAATGTACTGTGTAAAGACTACATTACTGAGAAGTACTGGTTACATTTGGGTAAGTAAAAAGTCAGCTATTCTTCTTTTCTTTTCAACTGAAAAAACTTAATCACAACTTTTAGGGACTCTTACAAAACTTGTTATGCAAACATGGGAGGGGCTGGTTGGGGTAGTCTATAAGATACTACGTGCGAAAGGACGCAGCAACTCCCAACAAACAGTGCTGGGAGTTGTTGCGTCCGTGTTGATAGTGGTTTGCAAATGGATGAAACAACTCTCAACAAACAATGTTGGGAGTTGTTGCGTCCTTGTTGATAGTGGTGTACAAACGGATGCAACGACTCCCAACAATGTTGGCCCATCACAGGTGTTGGTCCGTCACGCGAAGTTATTGCTTTGCTGTCTCCAAGGAGACCATGTGTAATGCGCGTTCTTTGTGACCCCAACAATGTTGGGAGAGCTGTGCAACATTATAGTGCTACGGTTTGGCGATCACGGAACTAAAGAAATATTGGGAGTTCTTGGCTCAAAAGTTTTACTGGTTTCAAACTTCTGGCAACAACTCCCAACAACACGCAGCAACATACAGCAACATGCAACAGGTTTTGTGGTTTTCAGTGGGTCAAAGAGTTAAGCTTCGGCTAAACAATTAATCATTTTCGTCTAACATTGTGTTGATACGCCTTTTTACGGTCTGATTTTGTCTTACTGCAACACAGGTGGCCCAAGCGTAATATGAGAGTTTGTATGGGAAAAATAGAGTTTGAAACTTAGATGAAATAAATGAAGTAAAAGCGATAAAAGTTCTCAATTAAGTGTAAATATTGTTACCTGGAGTCGTTGTCTTTGCTTTTACGAAGTTTCAGTGCGATTTGAGTACTTTTACAGCATCTGACCTGACAGTGTAATAATAAGAGACAAGGTAGGACAGAATCGCTCGATCGATCTTCAAAGCAGCTCAGAATCAGCTCCAAATTTCACGCGAAAAAACAAACACACTTACATTTTACGCCGCCAAATCCACAAAGTGGTACGTTAAGATCACTTTCCTGCAATGCGTTCCGGTAAACCTTGCGTTTGGATCGCATAACTTGATCGAAAAGATCAACTACAGTTCAAAAATCGGCGCCATTTATCCGTGACTAGTAAAAGTGTAACATTTCAACCGTTTTGTCGCTCGGCGGTGACTGGGCGCTAACGTCAAATAATAACTCACCGGGAGAGGGTGACATTACTTCGTTAAGACAAATCTCCACTCACCCACCTCAGAGCAAGGTCGGCTTCTTTGTTTTTACTCGGCCAATGAACGAAGCAACAAAACAAAAAAAAAGAGAAGCCAACCTTGCTCGGAGGTTGGCTCGGAGGTGGGTGCGTAGAGATTTGTCTTAACGAAGTAATGTCACCCTCTCCCGGTGAGTTATTATTTGACGTTAGCGCCCAGTCACCGCCGAGCGACAAAACGGTTGAAATGTTACACTTTTACTAGTCACGGATAAATGGCGCCGATTTTTGAACTGTAGTTGATCTTTTCGATCAAGTTATGCGATCCAAACGCAAGGTTTACCGGAACGCATTGCAGGAAAGTGATCTTAACGTACCACTTTGTGGATTTGGCGGCGTAAAATGTAAGTGTGTTTGTTTTTTCGCGTGAAATTTGGAGCTGATTCTGAGCTGCTTTGAAGATCGATCGAGCGATTCTGTCCTACCTTGTCTCTTATTATTACACTGTCAGGTCAGATGCTGTAAAAGTACTCAAATCGCGCTGAAACTTCGTAAAAGCAAAGACAACGACTCTAGGTAACAATATTTACACTTTATTGAGAACTTTTATCGCTTTTACTTCATTTATTTCATCTAAGTTTCAAACTCTATTTTTCCCATACAAACTCTCATATTACGCTTGGGCCACCTGTGACTGCAACACAGGTGACGAGAATATTGTACCAGTTGTGATGGGAGGAGCAGACTACAGCAAACTTGCTATTCCAGGTTCTTATATCAATGTACTGGATTTCAACACTGTGAAAGACCTTGCAGATTACCTTCATTATCTCGACCAGAACATTACGGCTTACAACGAGTACTTTAAGTGGAGGAAAAGATACCGTATGGGCGGGGAATGGTCTGTCCTCTGCCAATTTTGCGAAAAAGGTAGTTCGTTAACTGGGCTCCAATTAAAACACAACCAAGATCTCACTGACTTCTGGGTTAGACAAGGGAAGTGTGATGAAAAGGACCAACTCGTGCGCAAGATGTGGACTGCGTAGAGTAGTGACTCATAATTTTGTTGTCTATTCATTTTAATGACTTTAAGTTCAATAGCCATTTTAGCGATAGCGTACTAATTTATTATACACAGCGGCTACAAGATAACGTAATTCTTAATTAAACATGCGTGTTTATTTACGTATCTTTCATGAACATGGAAAAAAAGATATAAATCATGGATAAATCTTTGTCTTATTTCAAACCGAGGAGGTTTCGGGTACGATTCCATGTATATTGGGATAAAACAACAGGAGACCTACATAGTCAGAAAGAGCACATTGAGGTTAGAAAATTCTCAAGTTTGGTGTCAATGGAGCCAATATTGAAAACGATACTGTTACTTAAAAACTTGAAAATTTAATAAGAGATGTATGGATTGCAGGACACACTGTCCGGACGTCTACATATTCGTTAGTTAAGTTTCAATGCTCTATACCTCGTTTAATACATGCCTGATAAACACCAAACTTGACGATTTTTTAAATCTCGGTTTCCTCTCTCCCGTGTTGTTTTTCCCATAATACCAACAAACTCGAACTTAGCCTCACTCGGTTTTAAAACAGGCAATGATTCTAGCAATTACTTTTGAGAGATGCCACTGACCCGTCCATATATGGCGTACTTACAGTAAAAGACTTACCCACCCTCCTCCGATTGGCTTACATCTTGTTTAACAGTGGTACTTACGGTAGAATATAGAATAATGGTACTTTCACAGCCACTGAACTCGAGCTCTCAACAGTAGGATTTGTGCTGTGAAACGAAACCCGCCAATGAGTTCGGATCGAAAAAAAGCACCAATCATGAATTTAGCCATTTTCCTGTGAAGTCCGCTTAGCGAACAAAAATCTATATCTCGTCCTTCAATGCCGGGCCGGGATACTGGAAGTAATATATAGATTTAGCCATGGCCGCTATAAGCGAAGCTCTCGTTAATATCCATAGTGTACTCAAACAAAATATAAAAAAGAGTGTAACGCTAAGCGGCGAAGGCAGAAGACAGGTAAGAAGATTCAGTAGGTCTAATTAGCAAAAAAACCAACTTTGCACGTGCAGCACGCTTTTTTGTACATTTCTTTGCCGTTGTTTTTGCACGACTACTACGTGAAACTTCCGGAAACTTCCTAAGGGCCTGTTTACATGGAGGTGGGGGACCCCAGGTAGGTGAGGTAACCCGCCCGTCCATACAATCTCTCATTTTAATGCAATCACATTTACATGTTAGGTGGGGTAACCCGCCACATGTTTCCTCACCTACCTGGGGTCCCCCACCTTCATGTAAACAGGCCCTAATTACTGAGTTTCACCTTGGTGGCCGCTAGAATTTATCACTTTCTCACAACCGCTATCAAATTTTCATGTCATTCTTCCAATGAAATTGGTCTCCTTTGTTTTTTATCGCTCGCTATTGCTCCCTCTCTGTTATCCATGTCAATGTAAACATTAAAATTAGTCGAAAAAAAGAATCGGCTTTGTTAATGTTGTATTTTTTATCCCTAAAAGTCCGGGTGGCTATGTGATTTACCGCCGAAAGGTGAGGGTACTTTACAAGCAAAATTTCACTCCGGCTTACATGAAGGGGTGGACGTAAGTATGGACGTACGGACGATTTTCCCAGAACCCAAATTTTTTCGATGCATAGGTAACCAAATTTCCTTACCCATGGTGCTCCGCTAAAAGTCAATTAACAACCTTTGTCCCCTGTGAATAATCCGTTTTTCGGTAAAGTGACGTTGAATAGAAAAGCAACTTCGATTTTTTTAGTATTACTTGCTTTTCAATACTGTTGGGCGGTCCCTGCATCAAGCTCCAAGCTAGCTTGAATTTCATACGATTGCTTCGAGTCGTTTTCTCATCTCATTTACGATTCGATGTAATCATATGAAATTCAGGCTAGCTCCAAGCTAACAGTAACAAGAGTTGTGTAGCCGCGAAAACTGCCCTAAAATAGCCACTTTATTCGTCAGCTACTGATGCCCTCGTAACTTAAAAGTGGCTCAGCCTGGAATAACGTATATAGAGGATATTACATGGCCGCGCGGAGATACGAAATTTCTCTTCGAGTGTTGAAAAATATTCATTATATAAACACCAATGAACTACCAAACCATTTTACTTTAAAAGTTTTTTGGTGTGAAAGGCGCGATTTATTATGTAGCTATAGCAACGGTAATACTTTCACATGTGAAGATAACATGTTATTTTCACATGTGAAGATATCAAGTTTTCGCGCGAAAGCTCACCTGGTATTTCATTGGTGTTTATATAATAAATAGATGTTATCATCGCTGTTTATATGTTTACAAGTGTATTGATGGCATCATGGATCACTCCATGGAGCTACTAGCAAACAGGGACCTTTATAATTATAACACAAGAAATAGAGACATGCTTAAACTACCCCTTGCAGCCAAAATTGGGATAAGCAGGGAGTGTGTTATCACTCTCTGAAAGATTGGAATAATCTTGACAAAGACATAAGAAATACACCTGACATTGTGAATTTTGAGCTTAGCTTTTTTACTGAACGTTTTGCTTGTATTTCAATTGTAGCTTTTTATCAATTTTAAATTTAGTTTTTGAATATTTATTTTTATTTCTAGGTATCTTACATTTTACTGTATATAAGTCTAATTTGAACCAGAGTGATGAGATGAAAGTTTCCTAAGGGACAGACCATTAGAAAAGTTATGGGGGGGGATTTTCGAGCCGCAGGAATTTTTTTTCGTTATCAAATTCCTTGTATGAATGTTTTTTTAGGCCATAACATGAATATTTTTTTAGGATTAATTGGCGTGCAAGAATTTTTTTTCAGTCAATTTTCCCTTGCGCGAATATTTTTTTTACTTCGCCAGCCCCAACCCCCCCCCCCCCCAATACGTTTTCTAATAATCTGTCCCTAATAAAATATTATTTCTATGATTATGATGATGATTATGATGATGATGATGATGATTATTATTATTATTATCCGTGACGCTTCCCCGTTATTGTGGTAAGGTTTTAATGTGGCTGATGAAGGATATGGTATCTAATCTAAGTCAGCGCTGTAGTGACACTTCTAGTGTAGTTTGATTTTTACCCCGGTAATAAACTGTTACCTTTGGCGATATAATAGGAAAAAAAGGCTGAATACCATATTATCCTCACCAAGAACGCCTCTTACAATGAGTTTCTCAAGTGGAGGTACTACACAATGCATTCGGGAAACATTCTCTTTTTGCCCAGTGCGATACAATATTGTCTATATATTTCTTTGGCTAAAATCTGGATAGTCCCGAGCATTTTGAGAACATGGAGCAACGCTAGTACCTCTCGAGTGCCCCTAAATAACTTAATTAGTAGTTCCCATGCAGACTTCCAAGAATGAATAAATGGCGGGGCTTGTTTCACACCACTGTTGGGGCTTCCTTAGATGTTTTTAAGATTGGCAAACATTCCCACCTCACTTTAGTCTTCCTTGGAGTTATCGCCTGTTCGTTCATCTCCATTTCTTCACCGTCCATGGGTTCTTCGCTTTTTCTCGTTGATCTCCATCGACGCAGCAAAAGGATCACAACTCCGGTAGCAATGATAATAAATACAAGGCCACTCGTGGCAGAAAATGGAACTACGTACCATGCCGTTTTCTTTGCTATTTTTCCTACATGCACTGGAGAAAAGCAAAATTGCTCTCAATATCAAAATTTGGAAAGCGTTCCAGCATTTCTTAACTTAACTTGCGATCAGGCGATTTTTTTCGGGGATAGCGCGAAACAAAAGGGAAGAAGATTAACCTGATCGCAGGTTAATCTTAGCTTTGCAATACACCTAATATAACTCAGTTTAGAAGATGAACAAACTAAAAACCAAAATAACCAGCTGGGGAGCAGGGCGGCGTTCATATAACCATTTAAACATTTTAGGGGTAGCAGCGATGGCGCCGTGGTGAGAGGACTTGTCTTCCACCAAAGTGGTCCGGGTTGGAGTGCCGGCCTGGACGCCATATGAAGGTTGAGTTTGTTGTTGGTTGTTTTCTCTGCTCTGAGAGATTTTTCTCCAAGTACTCCGGTTTTCCCCTTTTTTCCAAAGGGGGCATTCCAAATCTCGATACAATCTGGAAAGTGTCGTTAATTTAGTTGGGGAAACTTGGAGGATTAAAGGCTTACCAGTTTATCTTGGAACCGTCAAGTGTCACCTTAACTAAGTCATTTAACATGAGATATGAGGAAACAAAGCGGGAATAAACAATATCTCGCCTTGCATGGCCTTTTTGTCTTTGTTCTGCAATAGCCATTCCGCGCGATGTTTTTTTTTCTTGATGTGCGTTCTAAGTTTTTGTGGTAATTAGAGAACTGAATTATTTACCTCTTGAACATACAGGAATAGTAGCATTCCATTGACCTTGCTCATCACAGAATACAGTGCTCTGCCCATCCATTTCATAACCTTCATCACAATAGAAGCTATATGTTGTCCCAAAAGTGGATCCACTGCCATTCATGTGCCCATGTTCAAGTGTCTGGTTTATTTCTGGACAATCTAGTAGATTTATTACAACATATTATCAAAGTGGAAACCTCTGCAACACTAGCCTGCGTAGCTAGCGCAAGGAAGTAATGTATATGGGCGAAAGGAAGAACGGGGCGCTCGCGTGCCTCCCTCCAGCGCCCCGCTCTTTCTTGCCCCTGCTAGCTTAACACATTCCCTCCACAACAACGCTCACAGATAACTCTACAACTTAAATAATACAGGGAAAGAGATCTTTCAAACAGTGCCTAAATTAAAAGTTCATTGGATTCCCTATTTGACGGCGTTAATTAACGTCTTTGATATGGATGGCGTGGTAAGGATATAAGAAGCATACTATACTTAATATTTTTATGTGTGACATTCCACATTGGTTTACTTGTAGCGGGCGGATAGTCGTACGGTTACGAGAAAACTAAACTTCTCGGATGGATAGATAACCAAATTTTGTTGGCCATGGCGCACCGCTATAAAAGTTTTGCCGAACTATTGAGGGCGCGGTTACAAATGGAAAATCGCGTTTTATTGGTGATTTTTAAACGTTCCTTTTTTCTCAACACTTTCTCAAGAGCACTCTATCAGAACAGAAAGACGCGCGTGCGTAAGCCGTGTTTAAAATGTTATTACTGCTGGTTATGAAATTAGCGATTACCTACTTTTAAAACATGCTGGAACAGAACCATTCCACGTTCCCTTTTCGTTGCAAAACAAAGTGTTTGCCCCAAGAAGTGAGTAGTGCTTTTGGCAACTGAAATAGTAATAAGATCCTTCCACGGAGCCCGTACCACTCACCATTCCATTTGGCAAAGATAAGGGAAGGGTGGGACAATCTGGAAAAAGAAAAAAGTACTATAAAATCAGCACAAAGGCAAAAACCTTTTACAATATATAACACAATAAAAAGACGCCCGTGGATTCAGAGTAATACGTTTTTAGTATAGCTAAGCACCTGTTGCTGTAAATCTTTGAATGGCTATACTTAACAGACTCACTCAACAGCCGCCAAAAGCTAGCAGAGTTTCAGGTCCCCAACGAGCTTAAAAAAAGATCGCCTCTAGGCCTTTTTTGGGACCCCTATCTAATTGTTTGATATTGTGCATGAGTTTCATGCTTCTGTTTTGGGATTGAACGATGGTAAAGATTTAATGATCGAAATTTCATTAGCCAAGTACACTCTTGCCATACGTAGGCCATACTAGCCTTCATTATGTATATTCCGGTTGTGTGTATTGAAACACAAAGCCCCATTAAAACAATCGATCTTACCAGCCGCGACAAAGGAGCATTTTTCGCGGAGTTTTTTTTTCTTTTCACGAGAACTTTCATCAAAACATAGTCTTCACTTAGAGGGCATGTAGTAGTACAGTGGGGACCGAATGAACCTTTTTATACGTAAATATCTCGTTTACGAGGACGAAAATGCATTTGAGCCAGTAATGTAGGCGTTTTCTTTGTGGTGGTGGTGGTGGTTGTGAGGTGATGGAGGAGAAAATTCAGAGGGATTATCCCTTATTACGCACCTTTTAAACAAATGGGAATACTTGCATTCCATCTCCCCTCTGCAGTGCAGTACAAGTTCTTTTCACCCATAAGAGAGTATCCATACTCGCAGCTAAAGCTATAAAGAGAACCTTCCACTGATCCAGAGCCATTGATGAACCCTTGACTTATAGAAGAAGGCAGACTAGGACATTCTGAGGAAAGAGGAGTTTGCATCGTCACAATTGACAAGGTTGATGTCCACCAAAATGTCTCCCATTTGAGTTGTTTTATCACCTATATCTATCTTACTTTGTCCTTGTTTTGACCTCAGCGGTAACTAATCTACCAAACATAACTTCAACTTTCCACGACCGACAATTAAATTCTATGACTTTCAAGGCCTACAAAATGAACTTCTTAAACTTCATGACTTTCCAGGTTTTCTATAACCTGTACGAACCCTGATTAGCTGTTTAACGAGATGTTTTTCACGAGATAGCGGCATTGACTTGAAAAACAAGTAGAGAACAGACCTAACCTTTTAAGCAAACGGGAACACTAGCATTCCATTTCCCTTCTTCTGTACAGTACAGGAGTTCGTGACCAACGAGGGAATAACCATCTTGACACTTGAAAGTGTAAAGCGAACCATGCAGGGCGCCTGAACCGTTGATGAAACCATTGGCTATCAACGAAGGAAGTTCTGGACACTCTACAAAAACGTTACATTCTTGTCAAATTTGTTGGAGGTTTTCCTTCAACTAGTAAGGTTTGTATCTCGTCTTTAACAACTGTAAGATGATTCTCGCATCTTTAAGAGTTATTATTTGAACGAAACGTGCTACAGTGTTATGTTATCTTCACATCTTTTTACAGTTCACAGAGGGGCAGTTGGCTTGTGCCTGGTTTGTTTGCAAACTGCAAAAAAAATCTAAAATAGATATAGTTTGTGGAGTTTGTTTGAGGATTTTGCACAGGCCATTAGAAGTTCTGTCTCGCAGAATAAGCCTTCCTTAGAAGGTATCCAGTCATTCGTTCTACTAAGATTGAAATTGTTTTTTTCAGCATTATTAGCTAAAATTACCTATAGATATTTTCTATTATTGATTACTCTGACTAGTAAATATTGCGTAATACATGAACACGAAGCGTTTGATTATTCCTATGTCAAAAGACGCATTAGAAATTTATTAATTACTTATCAGTATTGCAATGATCGAATCAAATTCCAAAACGATGACTCTGTAAAGTACCTTTTAAACAAATGGGAATACTTGCATTCCATGTCCCCTCTTCGGTGCAGTACAAGTTCTTTTCACCCACAAGAGAGTATCCTTGCTTGCAGTTAAAGCTATAAAGAGAACCTTCCACTGATCCAGAGCCATTGATGAACCCTTGACTTATAGAAGAAGGCAGACTAGGACATTCTGAGGAAAGAGGAGTTTGCATCGTCACAATATGACAAGGTTGACGTCCACCAAATTGTCTGCCATTTGAGTTGTTTAATTAGTTGTCTCTATCTTACTTTGTCCTCGTTTTGACCTCTGCAGTAATTAATCTACCAAACATTACTTCAACTTTCCATGACCGACAATTGAATTCTATGACTTTCAAGGCCTACAAAATGAACTTCTTAAATTTCATGACTTTCCAGGTTTTCCATGACCTGTACGAACCCTGATTAGCTGTTTAACAAGATGTTTTTCACGAGATAGCGGAATTGACTTGAAAAACAAGTAGAGAACAGACCTAACCTTTTAAGCAAACGGGAACACTAGCATTCCATTTCCCTTCTTCTGTACAGTACAGGAGTTCGTGACCAACGAGGGAATAACCATCTTGACACTTGAAAGTGTAAAGCGAACCATGCAGGGCGCCTGAACCGTTGAGGAAACCATTGGCTATCAACGAAGGAAGTTCTGGACACTCTACAAAAACGTTACATTCTTGTCAAATTTGTTGGGGGTTTTCCTTCAACTAGTAAGGTTTGTATCTCGTCTTCAATTTAACAACTGTAAGATGATTCTCGCATCTCTAAGAGTTATTATTTAAACGAAACGTGTTACAGTGTTATGTTATCTTCACATCTTTTTACAGTCCACAGAGGGGCAGTTGACTTGTGCCTGGTTTGTTTGCAAACTGCAAAAAAATCTAAAATAGATATAGTTTGTGGAGTTTGTTTGAGGACTTTGGACAGGCCATTAGGAGTTGTGTCTCGCAGAATAAGCCTTCCTTAAAAGATATCCAGTCATTCGTTCTACTAAGATTGAAATTGTTCTTTTCAGCATTATTAGCTAAAATTACCTATAGATATTTTCTATTATTGATTACTCTGACTAGTAAATATTGCGTAATACACGAAGCGTTTGATTATTTCTATGTCAAAAGACGCATTAGAAATTTATTAATTACTTATCAGCATTGCAATGATCGCATCAAATTCCAACACGATAACTTTGTAATTACCTTTTAAACAAATGGGAATACTTGCATTCCATCTCCCCTCTGCGTTGCAGTACAAGTTCTTTTTACCAACAAGAGAGTATCCATACTTGCAGCTGAAGGTATAAAGAGAACCTTCCACTGATCCAGTGCCATTGACGAAACCATGTCTTATAGACGGAGGAAGTGAAGGGCATTCTTAGAAGATATAAATGGCAGCGGGGATATTGATGTTAATATTCCTATTTCTTCGTGAACTTGCATGCTAATACTGTGCTTAATCAACACGTATTTTCATCTGAAGGAATAAACTTAAAGCATAACTTGTTTGAGACAAATGCATTAACTGTGAGTGACTTAATATGCATAGAGACGTTTTTTTAGCACTTCCTGGTTTGTTTTATACTTTAGATTCTAGAATATTGTTCCCAAAACTTCACCATTTCTGTGGACAAACTTTTGCCACGTCCGCTAGGTCTAGCTAAGAAGAGCGAAAGTTTTTAATACCTATAAGACATTTGGGAAGAGGACTACTCCAAGCACCGGTATCGCTACAGACTAGCGTGTCAACTCCAATAAGTGAATATCCCCTGCCACATGTGAAGTGATGTTTGGATCCTTCCAAATAGCCACTGCCGTTGACAAATCCATGTGCTATGGATGAAGGAAGGCTGGGACATTCTGTGACAAAAACATTCAGTATATTTAACTAAGACACAAAATCCTATCGTTGCTAAAACCATACCTAAGAGACCATCCTCGAGGTAAACTATGACTTCATTGCGTGTGTATTATTGTGCTCTACTGCCCTGGATCGCCCCATGTAATGGAATCCAAGAAGACAGTCTTGGGTTCTGGATTCCATACCATGGGTTCCAGATTCCAGGTTCTGGATTCCAGTCGTTAGTGGGATTCCAATTCTTTAGCTGTATTCTGGATTCCAAAGCGCAGGATTCCCGATTCCATGGGGTAAAAATTTCCCGAATTTATGGCCGACCTGGAATAAGTCTCCAACGCAGACGTTGTTAGGGCTTCTTTTAGGAAGAGGAACGCGTGACAAAGTCCTGACAACGCGTCTGCGTGGGAGGCTACCCTGAAATCGACACTGTACAACGAATTGACAATCGATCTCTGCATTTGCACTTTTTCTAATACTTTTATCGATTTAAGGTACATATGCCCATAGGAAATTTATTTCTGGGTGACAGTCGACAGACGTCTGGAAGCATTGGTTATAATAGCAGAAGGGCATTGCTGTCGAAATTCACGGAATCGGGCTAATATATATTCGGTTTGTGGAAGTCTCTATGAAAGTAATAATTCCATACGCGCAAGGAATGTGATATTGTGTATTAGGCCTTAAGCTGTACCCGATAATTAACAATTATTCCACGAGTGCGCGTTGAATATGTGATGGTAGATAGCCAACGAGGTGCGTAGTTTCCAATTTTTAATAATGCTTGTTATAACTATGGAATCACTTCTTTTTACCTTTGAGACATTTAGGAACACTCCCATTCCACATGCCTTTCTCTGTACAGTACAGAATATCTTCTCCCACGATGGAATACCCACTGAGGCAGCTAAATTTATAAAGAGAGCCGTGGATGTAGCCTGAACCTTTGACAATGCCATGTTCAATAGCTGAAGGGAGCTTAGGACACTCTGTGGAAAAAACATCACAACTACAGTCAACCTTCTTGAAGTTGGTCTCCTGGCGGAATGCCAGAAAGTCTCCATTAATAAATCGCCCCGTGTAAGGGGATCTGTACTCCGGAATCCCGACTAATCTCGTACCCAGAGTCTTCAAGCTTTTGGTCAGGCAGACCAAAAAGCCTGAAGACTCTGGGTACGAGATTGATGTTCCACTAACAACGAATCCGGAAATTCAGTACCTGGAATCCGGAATCGATGGCGAGGAATCCAGAATCCAAGACTGTGTTGCATTCCCTTACATGGGCGAAATAAACATTGAACTAATCCTTTTTTTGCAAATTAGAACAAGAATTAACAGGCTTGTCGGCTTACCTATGACACAGGTAGGTACAGAGCCATTCCATTTACCCTCGTCATTACAGAACAACGTGTTTCTTCCCACTAATGAGAATCCTTCGTCACAAGTAAAATAATGGTGAGAACCTTCTACCGACCCAGTTCCATTGCTGACACCATTTGGAATGGATGATGGAAGAAGAGGGCAATCTGAAAAGTAATGTACCAACATTACCGTAATGATAATAAGAAGGGACTGTGATATTACACGCAACATGTGGGTATCTTCCCCCACGATGAAGCAAAACAAACGCAAATTAAAAGATTGGAGAGAGATCTTTACAAGAAATATGTTAAGCGTGACGTAGTGTAACGATAATTACGTTAAGCACTTAATTGAAAGATGTGTTTCTGGTCTCTTAGACAATTCCCAGTGATAAACTGCACCAAAGAAAAATAAGACACTTTCAAAGTTCCCTTTGCATCAGGTATTAGCACCAAGAATGCCGTGCTCGATACTAAATGCGAGGCTGAATCAGAGAACGGTGATCTATTATGACATGAATTTGTAAAGTTACCTTTTAGACACCTTGGAACGCTAGCATTCCATTTTCCATCGGCGTTGCAAAGCAACGTATTAGACTGTCCAATAAGAGAGTACCCGGCCAAACAACTGAATCTGAACAGGGAGCCTTGTATCGAACCGCTGCCATAAACTTGGCCGTTTGGTATAAACGAAGGTAATTCTGGGCATTCTAAATATAATAAACAAATAAATAAATAAATTAAATAATCAATTAATTAATTTTAAAAAGAAGCTTAAAAATCTTAGCAAGGACAAATTCCACATCCCACGTCCATACAATGTTTAGACTGACAAATCCGCGCCATGTAAATTCATTTCAGTCTCTTACAACCTTCGAGTGACAGGATTCTTTAATCCTTTAAAATCTTGTAAATTGCTTTCACGATTTTAATAACTTTCTGTAAGGAGATCGATTGGCCACTAACAATCTCATTAGTGACAGCCTCGCGAGGCAATAGTCTTCAATTAATGCTGATCAGCAATCATCCATCCTCAACATTTTTAGTTGAGTCCAGTAAGTCTTAAATAACAACATAAGAGCTAAAAGCAAGCTGCCTACCGATGAAACAGGTTGGAAAAGAACCGTTCCAGATGCCTTGATCGCTGCAGTATAATGTTCCTGCCCCTACTAATGAGTATCCTGTCTTGCAACTAAAATGGTAGTGCGATCCTTCCACAGTGCCCCTACCACTGACAAATCCATTTGATAACGATAATGGAAGGGCTGGACATTCTTGAAATGAAGATAGAAAATAGAATCAATTAAAACATTCACCATGAAGTCATCTAGCTTCGTCTTTTCATTTTAAACTGACCATTTAATGATGTTACTAACCATGTAATGGAAAAAGAGGTCAGTTTGTAATGACAGTGTGCTGCAGCGAGTAAGAGCAAATGCAGTTAGTGACCATGGAAAGTGTAGTTACGTACATGCTGTATGTTTGAAACCGGCATTACATATTAAAAATATAGCAAACATTTTGCCCTCAATCAGTTTTTGTTGACAGAAACTGTAAGTTATACAATAAGCATTGTTTGCAGAAATTGAATCGATGGGGCTTGTATACCGAGGGACTTGGTGCTAATGATGATATTGGCACATTGGCTTCAAACAGAACAACAAACCCATCAAGCATAACAGCTAGCCAAAAATAGGGCTCGCAACGCCAAGAAACATCCCACCTATATATGACAGTTGTATTTCATGGGCATCTAACGAGTGACAAGACTAACGTTTGAGCTTACCCTATGTTGTGGGTTCTGATATGGGGGCTTCTGTACGAGAGTGCTTGTTATGGGAAGCTTTTTTCCGTTTCGAATTTAGCGGAGGCTGACGGGACTTAAACTTGCACGAAGGACCTTATTAAAAAAGGGGCATATTTTCGGAATTTTACGGTATCATATATCGAGACCCTAGAGGGTTTAAAAGTCTTATCCAGGCTCCTCTGCATGGACTCAACATAACAAAAAAGAAAAGAAGACAAACCTCTCAAGCAAGAAGGAACGCTAGCGTTCCAGCGTCCATTTTCCCGGCAGTATACAATTTCTGAACCGACGAGGGCGTAACCATCGTGACAGCTAAATCTGTAAACTACTCCTTCTACGTTGCCTGAACCGTACACAATGCCATTTGATAATGACGATGGAAGTACTGGACACTCTGTAAAAAAAGCAAAGGACTTTTGGAGACTTCTGGGCCGGCGATTATCGAAAAACAATCAGCATACTGACTCAGATTAGTTTCCTTGACAACTCATATGTATCGTGCACAGGTAGCCCATGATTAGAGCTGTAGTTGTGCTTTGGAGAGCTCATACTGCAAACTATTAGGATCACTAACGTAAAAATCATTCTGTATGGTTTGTAATAATACAGTAAAACCTCCATGTTTGACCACCTCTCCTTTAATTAAGCGACCATCTATCCAAAACACAAAAATGTTGGCAGTCAAAGCCTCATTGTTGGACCCAGCTAGCTCTCGCAAACCTTCCTCAGAGATCAAGGGACAGATAGTGTTAGTCTAAACGGGTGGGCAAAAAATGCGCGAAGAAAACCGTTCTTTATTTTTCTTCGCGCCATTTCCCCCCTCCCAGTTTAGACTTTCTCTCGCTCCTACTATCTGCCCCTGGGTCTCCAAGGAGGCTTGCAAACGACCACCTTTCGTAAGTGACCGCGACAAGACCGCGACTACTTTTTCTGGTCACTTTCTGATCTCTGAGCTCGCTGTATGTACGACGCTACTCATAGTTAACGAAGAACTTGCAGTGAAAACGAGAAACTGCATCTAAAAAAATATCTTTCAAAAAGTATGTCGCGGCCTCTACTCAAAAATGGTTTCCCTGTGGTTCTACTCTCGTAAGCGACAAACAAATTTTGTTGGTCGCTTACAGGAGATTCAATTGTTCGCAATATCGTGGCTCATTCTGTCTGGCGTTTCGTCCGTTTGTGTTAATTGGCTATTTATTAAAAGCAAATTACCAATGCTATACACAAAAATGTTTTGAAACCAAGAAAAAATGCAAGCTAAGACGTATCTCACCAAAATCGTTATATAGCTTACTCGACCCACACTGTCAAAGTTTGTTACCTTTCAGGCATCTTGGCGATGTCCCATTCCAGGTTCCGTTTTCTATGCAGGTGATGGTATCATGACCAAATAGGACGTAACCATGATTGCAGATGAAGCGATAGGTTGAACGATAAACACGACCATTTCCTTCGACGCGACCATTTGTCGGGTTGCCGTACTCAAAAGGGGAACACTCTGCATAAGGAAAAAAATCACACGTCGGCATTTAGTATAAGTTTTTGCTGTTGTCGCTGTTATTGTTGGTATTGTTGTTGTGTTATTTTCGATAGCTTGTGTGACAGAAGCCCAAACGGGAGGGGAGGGGAGGGGAGGAGAGGGCAAGAAAAGCGCGAAAGGGAAAAGGGAGAGATCTAGAATCACGTTTACGTCAACTGAACCACGTGACCAAGTTTTCCGTTTACTTTTCAGTTACAGTTCATTACATCTACTCAAAAATAAGAAGTTTCATGCAGGGTTCACCCATAAGAGTAACTGTCCAGATTTTTCTAGGACTAACTGTTTACTTCAAGTTTGCTCTTTGCCGTAAACATAAGCTAAAAATCTCAGTTGCGGTATATTCTAACGACTGGATCACCTAGGCACCGTTTCTTTTTACCTGAAAGCCACAAATTGGACGCAATTTCTACCAGCGGTAGGGTTGTTGAATTCGTCCAATCGATAGAAGTAGAAATATTTCTTACCTTTTGGAAGGCAGTTTGGGGTTGTTCCATTGTAGACACCGTCTTTGCAAGTTACGTGATTCGATCCGTTCATGACGAATCCTCTATTGCAGGTAAATTTGTAATCAATGCCATTCTCAGTGTCATTTCTCAGTACAATGCCATTTGTGAGTTCAGAGTCCAAAGGCACGCAAGCTAAAAAAATAACAACGTTACTTGATTCTTTACAGTCTTTGTAGTGCGAAAAAGGGTTTCAGTGTTTGTGCCGGTCTTTTGATTTGCGCATCTCGAGGCAAAAACAGGACAGGTTTTGTTACGGTTGCTCTTAAGGCAGCATCTAATTGAGTTCGCATAAAGGATCGACATTATGATTGGATGTAATTAAAAGCGAAACATGGTTTACATGTGTTGACTGACCAGTGAATTACCATGTGAGAAGAAAATATATTATCATTAATTGCAAGCAACAAAGGCTAACTGGCAGCATTTTAAACAAAAGGGAGTGAGTAGATCTATAAAAAGATGTTTAAAAGTACAATCTTGAGGAAGCCACAATATGAATTTCCGAAAGTGAGTGTTTTTATAGAATTCCTACCTCCTTAATTGGGGTTCTAAGTGATAACATTTAAAACCTCGCTTCTGGTTAAGTCCCCCGGCGCCCATGATGCGGCTCAGAGGTCCCAGAACAGACCCTTCCACGGTTTTTTCAACTTTTGATAGGGACCAGTTAGGAGATATCCATAACCACTGCCAGAAAGAGTGTCTTAAAATTAGTAAACTTGCCAAGTTTGCATGAAAGTAGTACTGAACATTTAAAGCGAGCGAAGATAAACCTTCGCAAAGTCGCGTTTTTAATGGTCGAGTTAGGGTCAGGGCTACTTTACATCATACAAAAGTTTGTAAAATTTCGTGACTTTGCGGAGTTAAACCTTCGTAAGTGTTTTTCAACAAATCACTCCCAAACGTGGCAACGTTGCTAGTTTTAAGGCGCATTTTTTCAGCGGTGTGAACGGATTTTAGGCAACTGATTTATGTCAAAATTTGAAAAAATCATGGAATGGCAGGTCTGGTATCGTAAAACATTCAACATGCCCTACCTGGTTTAACAGTATCATTGATAACAGCGACAAACTGCTCCACCGTTTCTTTACTGGCCTTTCCAATCGTCACCTTCTTGGTTGTGTAAATGTCAAACATGCACTGTGCACTGTCCCCGCAAACTCCTTTGGCCTCTTCTTCCAAAGATTTGTCTTCAAAAACCAGTTCTTGACTGTCTGGAAATATCGGCGTGTAGTCAGGGTGGAAATAACTTCCATGGTTTTTGCCTTGTTGGTAGGTAAACAGGGATTCGTTTTCTGTCGTCACCCCTTCAAAAAAAAAAAGCCCCTTAAGCGATGACGTAACAAATTCTCAGTTTTGCATATTACTCTCTCACACATAATCCTCTCTTTAACCCAACTCTCAAAGTGATTTATCTAAGAAATGCAAACGCCAGTGTGATTACAATGAAGGGTACCATAAGGAGCCCTATACGGAGGTCCACACCAGCGTTCAGGGTGCCTTTAATAAATAACCTGGTTTATCGTCAAGCGAATTGATTACAACGATGATCGATAATGTTGACGTTGACGATGATGATGATGATGATGATGATGATGATGATGATGATGATGATGATGATAAAGATGACGTTTGGTGATGACGATGATCACGACGACAATGACTTTGATGATGAAGATGATGATGATGAGTACCACACTTAATGTTACTTAAGATTTAGTTCTCTGCAGCTTTTCCTCTGCTATATTTCACATTTCTCAGCTTAATACAGCGTTTGCATCAAATTTGAATTGTCTGCATTGCATTGCTTTTTGCTCCACAAAAAAAGCGTCGTTCCAAAATGATGTGATATTTAGATATTCTTTTGTCCTTATGATAATTAACCCTCAATGCCGCCGATCGACATGTGCTGACGAACGAACCAAGATATCTAGACCACTCAATAAATTCGTCCTTTAGTATAAGCCATTTTTGAATAAGGTGTACGTACATGCTATGGTAATACAAAAACTGGCTTTTTTACGAATGACGTGAAGAAGTTATTTCAGAGAATTTTGAGGACAGAATACTTACATAGCTGTCCAAAATTCCTGTGAATCTCTTCAAGGCTAGAGTTCGTTTTCAGAAACGTTCCATCGGGTCTAAGATATTCCGATTCTTGACTGTCGTCCCAGTATCCTAGAAGTCCACTTGTGTTACCTGACATTAAATTGAGTCAAATTTTATTTTCCTTTCTAAAACTTACTTACTTTACATGAAAGCTGGTAAACTGTTCAGTTTCATTTTAATAGTCATTTATACTTTATTCACTTACCTTCTCTTTGTAAAAAGTACAGAAACAAAACAAAAAATTATTAAGTTTCTCCCAAGAAAGGAATCGATACAAACAAATAATTTTCTTTATTTTTGGTTTGTTTGTTTTAACAGAATGGGAGCAGGTTCTTTTTGAGAGCGCGAGAAATCCAAGTATCGTACCTTTAAACATAGTCGGCACTAACGTCACGAGACCAAGCAGTTCTGTTTGTCCTTCCACAGTTACCGAGATCCCGGAATGAAAGATGGCGGAATACTTGGATGTGTTGACGTACTTCAGCACGGATACTCCGTTGAATTCCAAAAAGGATAATTCATCAAAATCGACCATTTCTGCATTCACCAGGACATCTACCAGTCCACGCCCATTTAAGTGAATCTATGTAAAAGTGACAGAGGAGGAGTGAATGTCTTCCCACAATGCATTGCGATTCAAAGTAATATATCAAGATTTTCGTGACGTCATCATTCAGCTCAGAGGCTTAAGCAAGACAGAACAACATGGCGGTGTAAGAGAGCGTAAATAGGCTGTTAGAAAGTCGCAGCTATCACGTCGCGATGAGTGAATATTTTCAAAATTTTCCAAAAATGTTCAGTCTTAGATCTTTACATTGACAGGCATGTCCTTGAGTCATCTTTCAGGGCATTTTCTTTTGCTACAGGCTAATGTTAAGTGATATATTCCTAATCCTAGCTTTTTACGATTCCATTTTGGTTTTACGAAGAAAATAAAAAAGAACCTGGAGATGAGAGAAATGAATAAAACCTTTAGCCGGCCAACTTGATCTCCTTAATATTTTGAGTAATTTACTCACGATGCAGTGCACAGAATAAGTACTGATTATAACTATCGGTTACTGTAAAAGTCTGGTGATATTTCTTTAAAAATGTGTTCTTTAGCAAGGACAAAGCTATGAAAGCTGGTTGAGGGAAACCGAATGCCAAGTTAACCTGCAGACTGAGGGAGGTCAACAGAGAAAGTTTCGGTCCTCTTCAGACTAAACTGATCTGTTCTCCGTCTAGAATTGATTAATCTCTGACCTGAACAGTATCTGATCCGGATTCTTTGCCCGCAAACGCCGTATAAACAGTAGCATCTGTTTTTGTTCCATCGTCGTCAATCAGAGGCTCCATTCGTCCCTGTAGTGTAAAGTTTATCCCTCTAACCTTTAAAATAAAGTACTCGCCGTAGCCATTGAATGTGAAGGGAGTGCCGTCTAGGGTCACCATATGCGGGTCACCAAAACCAGTGGCTATAGTGTTAAAAAGATACCATTTATGAGTAATACTTTTTTATCATTGGGAATAAAAAAATAGCGTCAAATAAAATAAAAACCTGAAAATAGGGTTGATTGGGATTGGAACTCGTGATTCTTGTTGTAACTGAACCCAACGATTTGACTTCCGTTTGACTCACCGAGGAAGCCCTCTATTTGTCACAAGTTTCGGTTCAACCGATTAAACAGCCAATCGAAAGCCTGCATACTTGATAAAATGGCTGAAAGAAGCAGGTAATTTTCATGACCTTAATTCGGTATTACTCAACTTTTCCCTTTCAAAATAAAAGGCTATAAAATGTTTTCGAAAAGAAAACAACACATCCCGTAACAAACACAAAAAACAAAAACAGCTGGCTTTGGAGGTAATTCTACTCCGAGCTTCGCAACACCACACAAAGTCATTTTCTTGGCTAGAGCATTTCACTCGAGGTTTTCATAAGCCGACGAGGATGCCAGTTTGCTAAGGAAAGCGAGGTTCTGTGTCTGAATGGAAAACTACTTGAACTCAGGATAGTGTTTTGCTATTGTACATTGCTCTTTAATTTACATAGGAGTTTTTTCCCCGTTTGTGAGAGCAAATTGAATGTCACTTCCTGGAGCTGGTTCACATACCAGGTCTTGGGGCTTGGTACTTTGACCCGTCATCCGACGGCCGCTTCTCATAATACTTGTCGCAACTATCAGACAACCGACAACAGTCCTGGTATGGCACTAAATCATGGAAAAAGTGTGATATCACAGGCAGACCAGCATTTGGATGGAATCGATCAAGGGAGCCTGCATTTGGTTTACCCATCATTAAGTTACCAAAGTTGTTATAGCAACACTGCTGACCAGCACCCGTTGCGCTAAAAAGCAACAGAAGAATGTACCACTGAGTGTAGAGAACAGAAGATCAGAGGACGAAAAAATCTTTAATGGGAACATAAACGGAGAAGATGAAATCTAATCTACGAAAAAAGAAAAGTAAAAAAAAAAACAAAACAAAACAAAACAAAGGAAAACAAATTTAACAACTTTCTTCGTTATCAGTTAAGATTTTAAAACACTGTCTCCGGCGTTAGCTTTTTCGATGACGATCTTTCGATGACGACCGGTTCCTTATCCAGGATTGATTAGCGCCGGTGCTTTATATGTAAACAAACACGAACAATTTCATATTGCAGTTTACTAATATGTTAACTTTCCAGTTCATGTTTCAAGAAACTGGAAAGGTTACTGATCTCCTAGTGAATTACCTTGGATTGACCATTTTAAAGCAATGAACGGCACCTTCGTGGAAGCGAGAGCAGCCATCCCGATTGGACGGGTTGCACTCTTCATCGGACATGAAACGCCCGCGATCAGCCATAGCCTGGGTTATGCTCCTAGGACAGGGTTGCATACTGGGATCGTCTGTGGACAGAAATACGGAACGAGTAAAAGAATCTCTTTCATCACATGCCCCCTCCCCATTCTTTCGCTTTTTTGGGGGGGTGGGGTGGGGGGTGGTTCGGAATACTATCGAAGCGCCACAAAAAATAACATAATTCTAAGTTAAGCAACATCCAGTATAAATTGTAAGAAGGTCAAACCGAGTTTTTCCTTGGAGCAGATTGTCAAATTTGCACGCAGCAAAACAAACAGATGGTGGGCGACGGAATTAAGAGAAATCCACATTTGTGATGCAAGCTTTAACAACAAGCTTTAACAACAACATCTTTATTTCTTACATTAAATATACAAATATCACACCACCTGCAAATAGCAAGGCTAGTCGAGGCAGGTGGTGTGTAGACGGCTTAAGATTTATTACGAATAGTTGAAGTGAAAAAGTACCATATTTATAATAAAAAAGGTCAGTCACGAGAGAAATTGAGACAAGAAAATCGAGGCAGCTATTTAGATAAGCGGGGGCTAATAGTTTTTAAAATCGGAGATTATCGTGTTTAGGTCAGCATATCTATCCTGAACTTCAAATATTTTCAACAGAATTGTATGAACTTTTTCCTTAAAGAGAGATTTTGAAGAATTTCGTAAATTTTCAGGTATACTATTCCAAATTTTGGCTCCCATAATAGAAAACGAATCATTTTTTTGATTTAGTCTAGAGCGGCTAATGTAATAATCTCCAGAAGAGGAGGAGCGAGTGCTGTAAGAGTGGATTTGTTGAGTAGGAATAAAGAGATGTGAAATATTATGAGGGGCAGTGTTATTGTAAACATCAAACATTAACATCGAAGAAAGCTTAAAATAGAGCATTGTAATAGGCATAATATTAGAGTGAAGAAAGTAAGGGACGGCATGAGAGCGGAAAGGTGCGAAGTTAATTAGGCGCACAGCTCTCTTTTGTAATGTAATGCATACTAACTCTTGAGCACCAAATGCTGCATGTAGCTCGTCATAAGGTTCCAAACTAGTCCAAAGGGTCTCCGACAAATTAACGACAATCATTACTCATACTAGATGATCAAGAAATAGTGGAAGGTACCTTTGAATTCGTTGGGGTTAGGTTCTTTCTGATGCCATATTTTGCACCTCTCATCTGCCCAAGGTGCATTTCTCCAAGCAAACAATTCACTCCACACCCACTGAGCCCGAGAAACATTGTTTGTGCCGTCTTTCCTTGATATCCGAACCAGGTTAACATAACGATCTTCGATGTTTCTGAAACAAAAAGAGGAAGGAGAACTATGTCACTTCGCGAGATTTCTCCAAAAAAAGGATGTCTTGCTGCTCTGTTGCAAGGGCTAGGCCACGAAAAAAAAAAAACAGAAGCCTGCCTCCTCCCTTTTTCTTGGTGACGCCGTTGGTGGGAGTTAGCGTCTTACGTTTTTTTCTCAGCACAAAAAACTCATCTGAAAGGTGCGGAAGAGCATGACGTCATCAAAACAGGTGAGAATATTAGCTCAGATAAGTGCTGGGACATGACTTTTCCGGAGATGGGATGCTAAAGGAGCCCCCGGAGCTAGTTACTGAGAAAACATGCAGGTAATTACATTTGAAAGAAATTACTTGATAAAGTGTCAAGTTTTTTCACCTAGAATTCGAAACCTGAAAAATTATATTGGAACCTCGATCTCCATGCACGTTCACTTCTCGTAAGTGACCGCAACCACTTTTCAGGATGATGGTTTTGGAATTTTTTCGTTTTTCAACCTCTTTTAAGCAACAATCTGATACAATGGTTGTATGTTCTTTGTGTTAAGTGCTGTATGTACTACGCTGCTCAGAGTATGAGAAGAACTTTTAAAACGATTTACATATATTGTATCCTAGAAATTGCATGCAATACATTCTCTCCAATGTAGATGTGTAGGGACTTCTCCTCCGTCGTAAAAGACCTTGCACAGTTTAAAAAAAAACGTAATTAGATAGATCTCCATGGCGACCTCCCTTACCCATCTCCCTCGCCTTGTGTGACGACAAACTGACTGTGACCAGTATTCAACTGCGAGTCCACTACAGTATGAAAACTATCCAGCTCTGGGACGCTATCTTCGCCCATTTTATAACGCGCTAAATCGATTGAGACTTGATCGTCATTGCCTCCGATGCTTCCGGAATCCCAGCTGATATCTACCGAAGAATCCTCCTGCCATAGATCACCGTCCTCCCGCTGGACATCAGGAATATTACGATTGATGGGTACTGAAACAGAGGGAAATGATGGAAGATGAGATACTTTCACTCAGTGACTGCTACTAGAAAATGCAATGTCAAATCAAGCGGGGAAGGGGGTACTCCCTTGATGGCCTATACGGAAAGGCTTCGCCGGTGAGGGTACCTTTTTCAGGCTTCAAGTATATGAAAGAGTAGGGATGTCACTTGTCCAAGCATATGAAAGGTTATATTAGGTTATCATAACGGTCAAAAAAATGAATATGTTAGCCAAAAGGGCTAACATATGCTTTTTACGGCTGTGGAAAAGTCGAAAAAACGGTCTGGTTTTGTGATTTGTTCATATTTTATAGACAGTGTACTCCAGCAGTTAAAAGGAATGCAAAGTTCTAAACGGGGTATGTGAAACGGGTACATTTGTCAATAGAAGGCATAGGAAAGGGTTGTTTGCGAAAACGGGAATGAACCTCGGCGCGGAGCCTCCCCATAAAAAAAAAAAAATACAAAAATAAAAAAATAAATATTGTTCCACTCCCCACCCTGGGTGTCAACCTGGAGGCTAGGCCACGCTGGATCCAGTCAACCCAGTCTCCATTCATTACCTTAAGTCAGCAAAGAATAAAACGACAAAGACCTGAAGTGTAAACTCCGTTGTAATCAAAGGAATTCCCACCATCCACAGACAATTTGATGGGTACTCTTCCAGTCTTGTTCAGAACAGGCACGGTAACGGAAGACTGAATTTCGGTTCCAAACGTTGCATTGATATTGACGTTGCCGTCAAACTGCACAACTATGTTGTCATTCTGTTTGAAACAAGGTCCACTCATTTTCAAGTTTGTTCCTCCCAGCATAATCCCAGATCGAGGAGAAATGGTGAGAGAACCTATTGGTGTAAATAAAGGAGGTAATTAAATAACAATAAACAGGGTTTTAAGAAATGGAGTATACTGAGTATGCAAAATGGTCTCTTGTCTAGAATATCGACATCAGTACAAGAAGCGTTGGTTTCTGAGACAGGTGCTTGTGAGCGTGCCCCTGAAATAGACCGTGAGCGGTCGTCCTTCTTTCCTCAGGGCACGCGCGGCGAGTGAAATAGTAAAACTATGCCAATTAATGGGCCCTAGTTCCTCGCCCGCTCGCCCCTCACGCTTGCTCTTGATCTACAATAATGATTCAAAAGAAAAACAAGAGACGGCTCGCAGTATACCCAAGAAAGGACTTATCACCCTAAAAAATAGTTCCTTGTGGTATATCAATTGCAATCCCTCTAAGAGAAATATCCAAGCACTCTGCAATGTATTAAGAAAGCTTCACCTTTAGTATTGCATCCTCCAGCTTCAACACTAGCCTCATCAGTTCGGAATATCCACTGCCCTGGAAGAGCCACGTTTGAAGTGGATGGGAGATTGAGAATGTCGCTGGTTCTTGAGCCATTTATCTGAAAGAATCTAATCCCATCTCCAGCGTTGAAGCCGGCCTGTGATGCAAAAGTTGAAAACCTTAGCTGCATGGATTATTAATTCGAGAGAATATTCACACACGTTATCCTTAATACGATCCGCAAGGTTACGCCATGCATTGATTTACACCAAGCTCAAGGAAGATTGTCACTGGTGTTAGTGGTACAGCTGGTATTAAGACTTTGTAATCGGTTTACAATATACTATCTTCGTGCACGGTCTTCTGTCACAAACTTAAAGGACGTACCCTTTACAGGATTTTTAAGGTCACTGTCAACCTTAAGACATGCCTATTACAACCGCCACACGTTACTTTCTTGCGCGATATTTCAACGAAAACAAAGAATTCCAGATTCCTGCCTGAGATTACCTCAACACCAGCGATTATATGGAAATTTCTCATCAATTTCGCAGCTAATACTTTATGTCAGAAGAAAATGTAACAAACGCGAAAACCTAAAAACGCAGGGTATTATGGGAAGGATGCAAAAGCATAAAGGGTACCGGGCACCGTAGCCAGCGTCGCAGATGTAATCCAACCCAAGCTAGTAACGTCTGCAAAGGAGCGCCGAGACCCTTGTCCTAGGCCCTCAATGGACACAACGAATTACCAGAAAAGAGTTTCGAATTTCCCTTCAGCCTGATTTGCCAATTAAACATTTTAACGGGCCAATCATGGCGCTTAATCAAATCCGGGTACACAGTTGGGAGCGAGCTACGGACGGACTTAACCAGAGGTTTAGTTTCGTCTGAAGCGCCGGCTACAAACCGTGCGCATGAGCAGAAAGGAATACTGGGGACGAGGCAGAAGGACACAGGTTTTCTTACCTGGGCGGGTGTGCCACCCAAACCTTCAGAACTTCCGCCGCTTGCTGTCCCAGTTGTCCACATAATCAGATTGTAATTAAATATTGCAAAAGAATGGCGTCCATTTGTAACCAAAATCGTTTGAAAGGTGTTAACCTAAAACAGAAGACAAAACAGGTATCTCCAGGTTACGCCCAATTTCACGAAATTGCGTTTAAATACTAAAACGGCTTTCTAATAGAGCGTTTTCACTCACGTGTCCAGCGCCTATGCAAAGTTATTGGAACAAAAGAAAGTGTTTACATAAGAAAAGAGTTCGACTCCCACAGGAATGTTTTGGAACACCAATATCGCGGCCGTGATGTCATATGCATGAAAACGCTCTATAAGTGCGCTTCAGGGAAAACTCTTGTTCATCTGCGTGAGATCAATTGCAAGTTGCAAAGCTTGGTAGTCGATATTTCGCGTAACCACGTCGGACACACCACTATCTTGGAGCCTGGAACAGGCTAGCTCACTTCTTGTGGGAAGACTCTTCAATACATAAGACCTCAAGTAGTGTAACCGACCATACCTTACTCTGCATGCTCCCACTAGCTCCGTAGAAGGCAACTCTGTCCCAGGTTGCAATAAAAATCCACGTTGCCGTAAACTTTTGATGAATTACGAACGCCCGGCGAATATCAGCAGTCGCTCGCTGCAACAGCAAAGTATCTGTACTCTCCCGATAGAATACAGTCCCTCCCTTTCTTGTGTCCACATCGCCCCAGAATGGTGAGATGAGGCGTCGCTGATCCCCCAGAGGGAAGGGATCTGGGGTGAATTGACTTACTGCTACTAAAAATGACACTACCCCATTAGTGTTCACCTAAAGAACAAACAGAGGAGAGATTCAATTCAAGACCAGAGACACTGGTGTATTCCCATACCATAAACTGCCTGCATCATAAATTGTGATTTCGAGTTTTTTATTGTCATTTTTGCTTTTATAAATTGTAAATAGTTTGTAAATAGTTCCTGAAAAACCTCACGAGGATGTTACTATTAAAGTTATTATTCATTTATTATAGCTTATAAGCCCTAGGACTACTTAAAAAAGGAATAGAAAAAGCCCTAATTCGAAACAAGCTATAGCAATGCTGATCACAGTGGCGCATCGAGGGGAGACCCCGCAGTCCCCTAATTTTTAGACCAAACTGAGGCCCGAAGGGCCGAAAAAAATCGTTTTGGAGACCGCCCCCCTCTTTTTTCTAAGGGTCTGGATGACCGCCCCCCCTCTCCCTTATCTCAAGGTCTGGATCTGGGACTGGATCAAAAGACGTTTTTTTTTTTCATTAAGCTGCACTGAAAACGTCATAATTTGGATGGGTCTTAAATCCCGGGGGGCGAGGGCGGCATACAATATGGGATGTATACTTTTTCGTTTACAGGTGCCGATAACTTGGAGGGTGGGGGGCTTATAACTGGGTGACCTTATAAGCGGCGGTTTATGGAAAATTTTCTGCTAGTTTTGACAAAAAAATGTTTGAATAGAAAAAAGCCCACTCGAGACGCATAATAATGACTTTTGCCTACACCAGTCTAATATAAAACGGCCATTACTTACTTTCGACTTCTTATTGATTGTATCACCAAACTACGTTTTATAAGGCGCCATTTGTCAGTACGTTAAACAAGTTTTTTTAGAGCTTTTTATAGATGACAAATTAGAAATGCTATATTTTTCCACGAAGCTAATCCAGTGTTGGGTCACGTGTACAAATGAAAGTGGCGATACCTATGAATTTCTATCTATGATATCATGCAGTCGATTTAATCCATTTGATCACGCTTCGTCTAAACACACAGTATACCGTGTCACTTATATGACATGCGCTGTGAGATAATCAACTTAAAAACATGTGGTGTGCAAAAAAAAGTCTTAACTCTGTGAAAAGTATGGCATGAATAAATTAAGTAAAATATGAAAAACGTGACCTCTCTTCGACAAAAACATCATTACATATGCAAGCCCTATCGTTCGTTCAAAAATTGTTCTAACGACGACTTTGTAGTAGTTGTCTGGTCGTCGTTTTCTAGAACACATTTATGCGTTATCTCATAAGCCATGGTAATCACGTACACTAAGTAATTTTTCGGTGTAAGCAACTTATGCTAATTGTCGACATTTGCATGAGGCACAGCACAAGATACCCTTTTAGTCAACGTTTTTTTTCGCTTTCGGTTATAGATTGATGAAATAAACTAAAAATGCGAAGTTTTAACATAATTCACCGATGCTAAGGAAGTAAGAGGAATATGCATCTAACTCTGTGAATGATGCTTAAAAAACAAACTTTAAATCAAAAAAATCAACCAACAAACAAAAATCGTGATTTATAGCTCGAATCGTCACGCTAACAATCGGAGACTCAGAGGTTCAGGGGGTGAAGCTACAGCTGAAGCTACGGCTTCAATGTAAAAAATTACTTAAAACCAGTAAATTAAAGAGACAACAGTACTTACGAAAAGGGAATCATGGTTCCGATCGAAATACGGAAAGAGAATAGAAATCGGTATTTCTCCAGAACTACCATCATCATTTGCCGGAAGTTCAGTGTCGCCATTGCCTACTCCATAAGGATAAAACTCGCTCATAGAAAGTGAAGAACAAGCAGTTATGAGCTGAACAATGCCCACGAACAACTTTAAATGCTTCAAAAGCATCTCTCGCATGATTGAAGAACGCCGTGAAAATCAATCAAGAGATAATTATTCTGAGCTGTCTGGACCTCTCGATATTTTATTCAAACCACAAGCTATCACAATAAATCACGTCTTAAGTGCGGATTATTTTAGACTATGACCAGTTTCCGTTAAAGCATGGACCACAATGCGTTACAGCAGTCGACAGCTGGAAAAGTTACAACAAAAACAGGAACAATTTTACCCAGTACCCTGGGTGCCTGAGGTTTTTTTTTCTTTCCTTTCTTTCTTTCGGTTTGTGATTCATGATGGTTTGAAGAAGCCAGCCAAGAAAAAAAATTCCGGAACGTTGCCGAACGTTGACCAGCACCATTTATTTTATCGTACATGTAGTTACTTTGAGAACGGACCTCTGGCGATAGGGTTGAACAATTTGAAAATACAGCCCAAAAGTCAACATCACATTTGATCCTTCCTTGGGATTTCCTTGAAAGCTCAGCCCGAGAGGGGTTCCTTTTTCGTGTTAGAGGTCTGTGACGGGTAGGGATTTCACGAGCTGAGGTATAGACTGTCGTTCTGTTGGTACTACAGTTTACAGAGTACCTCTATAAAGAGACGTCTTTTAACGCCGTTTCATTTTCACTTCCGTTTGATCTTTTAACTGTAGTTGATTAAAAGAGACAGCACTTTACATGAAAGAGGTTATATAAGAGGGTAAGGGATTAGGAACTCGAGCTATAGCATTCCTGTACAAACTTTGTCGAGTACGCCATAGTCTTCATCGCGTGAAGAGGATTGGCGTCAGAAAAGCACTACCCTCTTGAAATTCAAAAGCAGTTCGTATTTTGAAAAGGACCTCTTTCGTTACTTTCAGACAGGATTGCAAACCCACTCTTCCCAGCTCCCCATTCCCCTCAATTTTGGTCCCACAGCCAATTTCCGTGTAGTCGTACAGTATTATTTGTCTGGCTGGTTGATATCAAAACCCTCACAAAAGGAAGCTTAAATCAGTTCCGGGGTCGCGCTGGTCCGAAAACCGGAATTCTGTTTTACTTGATCAAAGCATAAACAACATCAACAAGAAGCACTTCTTATTCATACATTTTTTGTTTAGCGGGTTAAATAGCATTTTAATTGGTATATAAATTAATGTATACTTCTAATTTACCTATAATTTTTTTGCTCCTTTTGGTGGGTCACAGGACTATTTCAAACACTCTAGAATTGGATACAGCACAAGATGTGGAAAAAAAAAACTATAGAAAACAGAACTGTCGGTAAGATGCTTGCTTCATTGAAGAACACTGTTCGCACGCTGTTAGAGAAATGTCTTTTTACTCCCTTTAAAACTTTTGTCATCAGAATCCCCAGGGTTACTATGAACAAACTGCCGATGGTTTAGGCCATGCGTGGTTTTCAAGGTGCCCATCCTTGAGTTGACTTCATTGCGGCTAAAGTTCAGAATACCCGGCCAATTATTAATCGTGAAAGCTTGATCGCAAGATCTGAACCCCTGTTGAAAACTTTCACATCAGTTATTGCATTGACAAAATCATTTGTCGTTTTAGACAGACGTTAGTTTGTTTTGCTGTTCGTTAGTAACTATCAAAAGCGAGGTGAAAAGAAGTCGTCTCACGACTGTACTTTATCGTCTGTCCAATAAATTATATAGCGTTATTTTTCAATTGTGGCCTTAATAAAGAATTTCCTTTTATGCGTTTTAATGGAGTGAAGAGAAGAGAGATTTGGCATCGATTTAGAATTATAAGTGTCACTGAGCACGCGTGCATTTTCAAATTTCGCACTCAGTTGAAGCTCGTACGAGAACTCCTTCTCGTCATCGATGCCAAAGCTCTTTAGTGTCAGTTATTAAGAACCTTCGCAGAGGATATCTATCCCAAGTTCACGGGCGTTAAAACTCGACTGTATTTACCTTATGCCACTCCGATTTGTGACACATTCTAGAAGACTACAGATCAAAAGTTTCCTAAGCAACTGCACATATATGGTCATGTTAAACATGACTTGTAATACAACTGCGCGTAGTTGTTTGGACAACAGTTCATATCCGATTCTCTTCTACAGCTTGTTTCTCGGGACACATGAACGTCACCAGTTTGCCGAGCCCCTGTCGAGCTGCCTCCACGTCGTTTTTGGAGCAGGGCTGTATATGCCACTCCCTGTTACGAGCTATCACATCCAGGCCCATCATTCTTGATAGCTATGGATTGAGAAATAACTATTCACATTTCTTGTAACTCTTTTCATTTGTTTATAACCCACGGAGCACTTGGGACTTCTTAAGAACTCGTTTAATCGAGTCTGTACGTTCCAGATCGAATACAGCGTTTTCACATGACGTCGTGGCCGCTATATTGGCGTTCCAAACAACGAAACAGTGGCCATATTGGTGCTCCAGAGTTGAACTTTTCAGTTTATGTAAACGCTCTCTTTTGTTCGATCAAATTTGTACAGATGATGGCCACATGAGTGAAAACGCGCGATTGAATTTGGAAGTGTTGGTTTTTGAGGAGAGTGGGTTTAAGAAGAAAACCCCTCGGAGCAAAATGCATTTAATGCATTTTGCTCCGAGGGGTTTCAAATTTTAATGCATTTTGAAGTTAAACTTGAAAAAGACTTATTACTGACCTCATCTGCACTACGTGCTCCCTGCACATCTTGCTTGTTTGCCAATACTAAAAGTGGAAGGGTTTCTAGGGAAGGGTGGGAGAGAGCTTCTTTGAGCTCAGCTGCTGCCAAGTCCACATCATCATCATTACTACTACTGTCCACAACATACACCTAGGACAAGAAAAAGCTGTAAAAACTGCAATAAAAATTACTCTTAATAACATACAGCTTAACCTCATTAATAAGAAAACACAGTGAAGTGAGAGTGCAAGACTCCATATATAGGTGAATCTTTGTTGACGTCATTGTTTACAGTTTTCCTCATTAGCATACGACTTAACTCATAGAAGCCGTGGCCGCACATATGAACTTAATGCAAACTTTGAAAGAGCTGATTAACTTAAACAATTTGTGCAATTTTCAGCTTATTAAAAGCAATATTGAAGGAAATATCAGCCATCTAAAACTGCGAAATTGCTGGGTGGCAAAAAATTTATGAGCCCTTTATTATATAGACACAAGTGTTTTACTGGAAAATATACCACTCGTAAAATTCATAAAAACTACATCTGGAACCCGAGTGGTTTATTTTCCATAATCTCACACGTGAGTTTATCGATGACGTAATTTCGGTCATTTCCCTCTATTATTTTATCGATGTCTTTTTGTCTATATAATAGAAAGAACATTACACGGCGGCTTGAAGATATGAATTTTATTTTCTTGTTTTCTTTTCTTATCTTCTTGGCAAAACAATATTTTACTCACTCGCTGCGCTCATTCGTAAAATATTGTTTTGCCACTCGAAAATAAAATTCATATCTTCGCGCCACCGTGTAATGACCTCTATATATTTTTTGTACAATTTCGAGTTTTTAAAAAAGAATTTCTCCGAAACGATTGGGTATATCAGGCTCAGATTTTCAGAGATAACTGAAATTGTTATGCCCTTTCAATATTCAGGGGTTTTATTTTATTAGCTTCATCAGATAATGATGAGCATATGTTAATGAGGCAGAAAATGTAAACAAAGATTCTCCTATAAGGGAGGTGTCTGTAAAGTTATTTAAAGAGGTCACTGTGGTGATCTCACTTTTACAACTCCCAAGAAAGATGTCTGTCAATACATGGACTGTAAAGAGTGAAACATAATTTGAATAATATTAACTGAGAGCATGATTGTTGATCTACCCTAAACAGAGAAGTATTATTTTTTAGCGCAAAGTGTGAAATGAAAACTGATAGGCTTTTGAACCGCATAGAGACAAAAATGTCAGCCAATAAACAAGATCTAAACAGTTACACCAGCTCTTTCTAAAGGTTTTTCACAGAAGATAGAGAAAACCACATTAAAGAGATAATGTTCAAGAAATGACGGCTGAAAAAAATCTCTAGTGTAACATAAAAAAATGTCCTCACCACACCAAGTGCTCCTTCAAAGTAATGAGACCAGTATTTTCTGACATTGTCTCCACCTAAACCCATACAGAAACAGATTCATTAGAAAAGTAAGAATAACAGTCTTTTGACAATTTAATTTCACTGATCATTTTTCTTCCTATTCACATACAGTTCTTGGAATTTGAAAGAGTGTTGTTATATCTTTTTGTTGCACTTTGCTTTTACCCCAATTACACTCTACTAAGCAACACCATTGACTGGCTTTTATTCAGAATCAAGGAAATACCAACAGAAAATCTCTACACTACTGTATATGAAAAACAAGGTTTACATGTATGAAGTTATATCAGACTGACCTCCAAGTTCCTTTACATTAAGGATAGCTGTGGGTAGCTGGACAGCTTTCACAGAGAAACCTGAAAAAATGTAGGGTATGTACAACTGTAGGACTTCACAAAACCTTTTTTAAATATCTACAGTCTACAGGTCTTAAGTAAGAATGGTAAGTCTTTTTACGTTACTTGCCCGATAGGCAAGGGTCCGGCAAGCCATCTTAAAATTAACTACTGTATTAAAGTTCTCTATTAAGCCCCCTGGGGGGCTTATTTACATGTATTTTCAAACCCATTTGAGAGGGGGAGGGCTTAATAGAGCCAGGGGGGGCTTATTTAATTTAGAAAAGATGATGGTATCAGTTCTCCATTAAAAAACTAGAATACAAAGTGGAAATGCTCAAGTACAAGAAGTTGGAGGTCATGAAGCCGAGGATCAGAAACGAATCTGAACTTCTAGTTGGTAAATAAACCTTCCCGGATCAGTCAAAATGAAGTTTTACAGTCGTGATTGATTAATACAGTCTACCATTTATTAGTGAAGAATATTTAGGGGAGGGGAGGGGGGCTTACAAGGGGGGCTCATAAACTTTCTTCCCTTGAAAAGGGGGAGCTTATTAGAGGGAGGGGGGTTATTTGAGAGGGGGGCTTAATAGAAGATTTACAGTGAGACAAGCAAGCAATGGATCTGAACAAGTGCAATTCAAGAATTGTTTGTCCAAAAGGGAAGCTGGAATTCACTTTTTTTTGCCCTGGAATATTACTGGGTACCTGCATTATACAAGCATGTATCTCGTGGTGACTGTCGGTAAGCTTTGCATTGTCTAAGAGTTATGTTATCTTGACAATAGCTGACAAAAAAGGAGAGTAATTGGCCGCTGTTATTTTGCGTGATATCATTAAGCTGTTTTTCTATTAGTAATTTCCGCAGACATTTCCGGAGACAAACCTAGTGATTAATCGAACCAATCACGAATGACTACGCGGTTTTTTCTTAAATGAGTCCTTGTGTAACTAATCGGATGCGGGTAAAAAAAAGGACAATTGAGAGGGAGAGTTGAGTGGAAGCGAACGTGTTGTTGTAAAACTAAGAGATCGTGGTTTATCTTGGAATAAAACGTGGAAATCTACTTTATAGTGACTTTGTTGGAGAGCACTGTTCTTGGAGGCGAATAAATCTCGACAGTGACAAGCCTAATATAGCCTACATCTTATTAGGGTAAGAGTTCATTTGTAGGGGATTTGGCATGAGCAATTAAATAAGCAACAATAAAAAAATAAAATAAATTTTCACTTTCTGGTTTAATTGACATCATAAAGACTTACCAACTGTGGGTTGCAATTCATCTGTTACAGTTTCAGCACTCAGTAGAGCACAAAGCAATGATTTGCCAGCTTGGCTCAATCCAATCGCAATCACTGGATACGTTGGTCGTGGTGCTGCCGGCTCCTTACAGCAGAGTGTTTGCCCACACTACAATAGTATTTCGTTGTTAAGCTTTCCATTAAGAATATATGCACCATTTACACCCCCATAAAACAGCCATAAGTCAGCCCATAAACCACACAGGAGAAACGTAACACACATTGTTTTATGCAATGTAAGCTCTTTTTTTTATTGAAATCCTTTTTTTTTGTAGGTCACAGAAATGATAGTTTTTTTCCCAGACAAATCCTTGTGTTTTGAATGATACACGCAACAATGCTAATATTCGCCGATGCTTATATTTTGAGCTTGGGCTACCTGTGATGTCACTTGTCAAAATTCACCCTCGGAGGACCTGGTGCAACAACACCATACCCCAAATTAAATTAAAATGGCCACTTCATTATTACCATCCAAACAGTTTTAAGAAACTAGTTCTACTAAATTTAGATGGTTATCAATATGACGCTGTGACTTCTTGGTACTGCACTGTAGACACCAAATTTTTCACCTACACAAGGAATAATTTTATGTATATTACCTGTTTTAGCTTAAACTTACTCTTTAAATTCACGTCTGCTTTACCTGGAATTATGGTTATGATCTCTTTTCTGATTATGAATAGGGACGTTCTAGATGCTTCGATTGTGACCGGATTTGTTAAGAACTTTCAACAAGCTTTACATGATCATTGGACTGTTCCCTTATCCTTCATGATCACGTCGTGTTTGGCAAAAAAAGTTTGACTTGTGTTAAGGTTCTTATCTGCGGTACAATCCATTTGGGCTTTATCGTCAAAAAGGAAGGTAAATTTTAAAAAACTCATACCCGATAACATCCAATACGACATAAGGCACACATCAAGGAGCACCACTGGCATTTCTCACCCATTTTTCACAGATCGGATGCTGTAAATCACGTAGCGATCAAAAAATTCTCCATCGCTAGGGACGCCAAAGGCTGAAAAATAACGCTTTACGCGGGCTTTCCGCTCTTGATCTCCTCACATCTGCCATTTTGAATCACATGACTAGAACCCAGATCTTCCGTTCGAAGGAAATGAGTAGGTCACTTCGATGTGACAAGCCAAATCAGGGGTTAAGCAAGTGCTATTTTTGTCGTTTTACGTGTATTTCGCTGTTTAAAAACTTTCACCTTGTGCGATCAAAGAGCCGTTAGTTCAAGGAAAAGTCATCATGTCTTTAGCAGGGTTCAAAAAACAGATTAACAAAGCTAATCAGGTAAGAACAAGTTGGGATTCTCGCGCTGTCGTGGCTGATCGCTTAGCTTCTTTTTGAAATTCACAAATTTGATTTCCGTTTCGTGTCACAGTTCATGAGTGAAAAAATTGGAGGTGCCAAGGGATCAAGACTAGATGAAGATTTTGTAGAGTTAGAAAGAGTAAGTATTGGATAAGCTATCACAAGTTTCATGAGTAAAATTGCGACCATGGCGCGGTTTTGGCATGATAAACCCAGGCTTGAATGACACTCACTGTCAAATGGCACTTACACACGAAATTATCCACGAACGCAGATCTTGTTGCTGCCCTTTATGAAACGTCCACTTCATTTTGTCATTTTCTCTTCTCACAGATTTCGTGTTAGTGCTTATTTTCTTGAGCATAACTACCACATTCTTGCCACAGCTGTAGCCCGTAATTGCTCTCCGTACGCCGGTTTTCACATGCTGCAGATTTCAATCTGTCGTATTTTTAAGGCGTAATTTGAAAACTGTTGGTCAAATTTCTCTTTTTATTGAGTTTGTATTTACAAAACATTCTAATTTACCAAACAAAAAGTCGAAATTCGATGACGTCCGTGGGTGTTTTTTAATTATTGCTGAAGCTTTCATGTCGCGAATGTCAAAACGTGCACGTTCGATGTTATTCATTAAAAATTTTTCTTCATTAAACAGTTAAAAATAAAGCTTCTATTTTTATCGCTGTAACCTGCAGTTGTTTCAGCAATGCTCAATAAAAAACAAAAACTACGATCTATTTCACGAACGCATTTGACTTGCGTCTTCCTTTGAGCTGTGAGTCACAGAATCTTAAGTGTACGTGATAGCTTATCGTTTTACACTAATGTTTTGAAACCTTTATTCAATATAACCGTTTATATGTGATATTATATAATCCAACAATGAGGTTAATCCCTTTTCGATGGATAATTCCATCTTAAGTTATGCACCTGTTACAAAGAATGCATAAATTTTATCAAACCGGGTGTAAACACCAAGAATGGTGCCAAAATCTGTTTGAAATACCCATCTCAACTTTGTTGTGAGATATGTGTGGTCGATATGCATTTTGTATACGCAGCATCACTGATATCCTCCACTTAAAAGCTCCTTACAATCCTGGGTGCCTATTTAAGATTTTGACTTTAAAGCGTTATGTAATATTAATCAATTAGAGGCACTAAAACATTTTTCCTTTTGAGAAAAAGAACCTTGACAGGGTCTATGTTTACTAAATCTTCATGTGGAACCTGGATCACATGGAGGTAAAGATAACTGGCATTGGCTTACACTGCAACCCTTTTAGTGCCAAGAGTAACCAACATCAGCTTTCTCCTTACAATATCAAGGCTGTGCTCTAAGGAAAACTGAAAGGAGCCCATGTGCTCTTAATCTGTAAAATCTAGGGTGCCCAGCATATGATTTGTATGAAAAAAGTAGGATTTTCTAGTCGCCCAAGAGCAAAAGTTAGGTGCCAGGGGCCACCGGGCTCTGCCAGAGCACAGCCTTGAATATCAGTACGTAATATAGAGAAACAGTTATGAGAATTAATGAAATGACTACCAAAGAGGAAAGGGATGAATAGGCGAATGGATTGGCGGATTTTGAAAATAGTTTTGCCTGGATTTCAGATTCAAAGTGAGATTTTTTTGGATTTCTGGATCCTGCAATCGCAGTGGATTGCGGATTCATATATTTTTGGACCCGGATTTTGGCCTTTGCGTGTAATTAAAATTTTTTTGCCTGGATTTTGGATTCACTGCAATAATTGAAGGGCGGATTTGGTTAATAAATCATAACGGATTGCAAGATTTGCATACTCCTATTCACCCCCCTCCCCTCAAAGAGAAAATTCTGTTGACAAATTCCCTCAGGAATTGTGTGGAAATCAGCCTGCAGAATTTCTGTGTGGACAATAACGGCTGGTTTTCACTAGCGGCAAAGTCAGAGTCGAAGTCGTAAGGGGAGCCACAAGAGTGCTTATGACTCAGTGAAAATCAATCAATCAAAGTCATAAGTGCGACAGAATCAGAGTCAGAAGAATCAGAACGTTTCCATTTTCTTCTGACTCCACTTACAACTCTGTTGGTTACGATCTAACGAAAACCAGATTGCCGGAGTTCAGAAGCAAAACGGAAGGAGAAACCAATCACAGTGCACATTCCCATGCTTTGTGACTGGTTTAGTTCATCCACTTGTGCTTGTGACTCCGACAAGCTAGTTTTCACTTGATCATAAGTGACGGAGTCCTAAGCAAAATCAGAATGCTGTTTTCACTAGATCATATTTTTAGTCTTACACTTCTGATTACAACTCCGACTCCGTTGCAAGTGAAAAGTAGCATTAACCAATCAGGTTTCATATTCTCCACACTGTTCTCCATGCATTCCCTTTGGTACATGTACAAATAAGGAGAATTTGTTTAACAGTCAAGACAATTTTCACTGGTTGATAATAACCTTTTCTCATTAACTTTACTATGTTTGATTGAGCTCTGTGACTTAAGGAGTAAAAATAATGTTTAATGTTGGTCACTCTTTGGGGTGAAAGGGTTGCACTGTAGCTGAAAAGAAACTGCGGTGAGGAAAGAGAAGGAGAGGGTTGCTAGTTGGGTCACAGGGGTAACTAGCAGAAATTTGAACTGTTTTTCCTTTTTCCAATTTTTGGAGTAAGATTTTTTTTGCCTGATATGATATTGCTGCAGTCCATTTTTTTTACTGGAATACCAAAAATAATTTATAATAATTTATAATTTATAATTTTTCCACTGGAATACCAAAAATAATTTATAATTTTATTGAAACATTGATAATATTAAGGTTTATTGGAAATTAATATTATGGTCACCAACAGTGGTTTATTTTTTATTGTTTATTTCCCATTTTCCCCCTCTCTTTTATTACTTTAGAAAACTGATGTAACTGCAGGACTTGTTGAACATGTAAGCCACAAAACTAAAGAATATCTTCAGCCTAATCCAGGTACATGCATGATCATTCCAAAAATGTTGATGCACATATTTTCCAAACTTTGAACTAAATAGTTGATTATATCCCATGTACTTTCATTGCAACACCTTAACATGTAAAAAAAGTGAATAGCCCAGACAGTGTCTTTCCAAGATGAACACAGTTTGGGCTGTGGTAGCCATTTCAGAGATCTGAGCTCTATGGAGATAGGACACCCCAGGGAATTATTTTGACTGTATATTTTAAATACCTTTTATACTTGTACAGGTTTTGTATACCAGTATTTGTTTGTACAAGTTTCATAGCATGTAGTGCTGAATGAAGATCGAATTTATTCAATCTGTTTGGAGCCTCATCATGAACAAGTTTACACTGTACATGTACTGTAAGAGGATGACAAATTGTTTATGATCTTCATTTAAAGCGGCCCGAGCCAAGCTCACAATGCAGTCAACTGTTCACAAAGTCCGTGGAGAGGCTAAAGTATCACGATACCCTCAACCCGAGGGCCTACTGGGAGAAACTATGATGAAAGGTGGAGAAGATCTGGGAGAAGAGTCACTGTTTGGTAAGATAGTACATGTGCAGCACTCCCATGCTATCAAAAAGTAAAAATATACCAAGCAGACACTTCCCTGCTCGCAGAGGTCTCACGCTTCGTCATGAGAGACCTCCACTAGCAGGGAAAGCAGACACTTGTTTCATTCAACAGCTACGATGGAGCAAAGAGGCTGCTTGCAAGTCCCTCTCATTTGTTCCCTAAATATTCATATCTCAGGGATGGCTCTGATGAGTTTTTCTCAAATAAACTTGGTTTACCCCTTTCCTCCACAACCAACATTTCTAAATTCCAATTTCAGGGCTCGAAATTAAAAAAAATGTCTTGTCGCAAATTTGCGACTAGTTACGAAAATTTGGTCGCAACTTTGAAAATGTTAGTCGCGAAATTTATTGAGGCCATTTAATCAAGAAATAAGTAGGCTTTTAAATGATTAACGCTTTAATTTTCATTCTTTCAACAGCGTTCATGTCATTTCGAGACTTAATAGTACAGAACGTTTAGCGTCTCGGACAACACCAGTTCATCTAAACGATCAAGTTGAACCGGCGTTAAGGCACATAAATTAGTGTCTGTTATTTTAGTCAAAGCGATAGATTTCCAAATCGTGAACAGATATTACAGCAGGAAACTGCAGTTCTTAAATGCCTCCAATCTCTGCAAAATAGCAATAACATTTGTACTGGGCAGACATCCGACATGGTTATAGGTTACGTTACGTAACTAAATTCCTTTAGTTTTACCTTTTGTAGGTTTTCCACTGATGACAAAACAAGTAACGAATTCTTTTATATATTAAGCTTTACATCTGAAGTATCAGGGGTGTTACTACAGTGATTATTCAAAGAACCCTGAAGGACTGAATCATTCGATACGATGATACGTGCCATGCGGACATTCCGCCATCTTTGTTTGCTAAACCTCGTTTTCATGTATACGTAGATTCGCAACCCACTTGGAACCGATTTATTTTACATGTAAATCTTTTTTTTTAAACTAAAACAGCTCGGTGGATTTCTTCGTTTAAAATGTGACCTTTGAAACAATTTAAGTCGCTTTCATCCGACATAATTGACTCACTAAAGAAGAACACGTGTACTGTGAGGGCCGTAACGCGGGTCATAAACGCGGGAAAAGTCCTCAGCATGCTGGCGGGACTGTCAGCGGCAAATCAAAACGAAATATGAGCCTGCAATGTACATGTTTACAGAACCCGCTGAAAATCGCGTGCTGTTGAAGGAATATCGTTACGTGTATGCATTCCAGGTAAATTACGGTAAACCTTCAGATTGTAACAAAATTATAAGACGCTACTTCAATGAATCTTTTTATTTCTAAATTTATTTAAGCAAAAATTCAAGTGCTAGTCCTTTTATTTCTTATCACTTAAGGCAAAACCTAGTCGCAAATTTGCGACTACTCTCGTTTTTCTAGTCGCAAATAAGAAAAATTAAGTCGCAAATGCGACCGTATCGGTCGCAATTTCGAGCCCTGAATTTGATCTGGAAAGCACAGTAACGCATTTAAATGAGTTCTTTGGAGTGTAGGTACAGTGCATTTCATAGGATAAGCAAATTCCTTTTTAACGAGGGAAGGGTCAGGGGGATGATGAGTAGAGAACTTGGCATATCAGATTGACCTCCTACCCTATGCATCATATGACTGTGTTATTAGTAAAATCCGACTAGTGCTCTATTATCAATGCTGCATTCTGATTGGTTGAGCTACCACTAGCCTATATGTTATAGCCCAATAGTAGCAAAAAGCGCTGGCTTTGAAAACCAAAATGGCGGATGAATCGCGTTTTGCTAGCTAAAGGTGTTTTGTCTCGATATTTTTGATCAACTAGTTGGGTTTTACTAAAACATTATTATTCCTCTCACCCTTAATGGCCTCATGGGCTATTGACTCAGTGTGCTCGAGGAATAATTGTTAATTACACTTGTATTTAGTGATGTTTAGTGCTATTTGATTCTTTTGATTGTCTACAAGGCCCTGACTGATCTGCATATACAGTATAACAGATCTGACTCAGATCTTTCAAACTGTGATACGCCTGATTAGTCCTTATGATTAACATCATAGAACACTCTTGTTGTTCCATTACCCAATACAAAGAGTTCTGGTGACCACAATTTTCAAATAGCTGTCCTACATGTAGTACTGTGGAACTCACGACCAAAACATAATCATTCTGCAGGCTCCTTATTAGGTCACTATATTTGGCCTGGACAATAACAAGATGTCCGGGCCAAATACAGGTTTGGTTTACAGAAAAATGTGTGAAGATGAGCTTGGGATTTACTTGTATTGACGTCCACTTTACTGTACCTTAAGATGCAATCCACTTCCTATACGTAGCAGATTTCACTGTATTTAAAAGAGACCAAAATTGCATTGACATTCTTTATATCAGGTCAAGCACTTAAGGATGCTGGTGAAGCATTCTCAAATTTAGCTGAAATAAAGGAAGCTCTTGATTCAAATGTCAAGCAAAATTTCTTGGACCCACTTGAACAGCTGAAGAACAGAGATATCAAGGAGATCATGGTACTCAAATGGTTTTGAACTCTCATGTTGTGCAGTTAAACCAGTAAAGAGCTTCTAGTGCTTGCTTTCCTTTTTTTGTTTGTGTTTGTGAACTGGTGGGAAGATTGGAAACTTCAATTTGACTATTGCAGCAAAGTGTACATGTACATTGAGAGGTTATGAAACCATCGTTAGGATAGAAAGTACCGTAGTGCTTAGTGTTGTAAGATGGTATGACCAAGGTTCTACATCGTGTGAGGAGAATAAAATAATGCAGCAGCTTAGGATTACACTGATATAAGTATATTTGTCAAAATTAATGATAGTGTTAAACCTTTGGTTTTAAATAATATTGGTGTTAAGAAGTTTTTTGTAATATTATTATTATTTTCATTTTCACAGCACCACAGAAAAAAGCTTCAGGGCAGACGACTTGATTATGATTGCAAGAAGAGAAAAGCACACAAAGGTACAGATGGTACAGTGTATGTACAATGTTTGTACACTGTAAGAGTTCAGTTGACCACCATACATGTCCATACACAGGCAGTCATGTTGTAATAGGCCAAAATGTTTACTGTGGCTGACATGTCAATAAGCACGTAATGATATACAAGTGTTTGTCTAACTATCTGGGATTATGAAGGACTCTGTCAGATATGACAGAAATCTCCCAGTCATCTGTATGGTTCACCAACTCCTGGATCATGAAAATGTCTATTGAGCTTGCTATAAATTATATCCGCATTGCCGATAGTAATGCGTCCCCTAAATTCCCTTAGGGTATTTTGCATTCTAGCACTATATTTAAAAATTCAGTTTTGAGCTAGCAGTGGTCATGAACAGAAGAATTCAGATTTAGAAACAAAGACTTGGAGATTCACGCTAGTCGAATCATTCTGTAAATCACGCTATTTATCCTCGAAATGTAGAAGTGAAAGAGGCAAGCCGATTTCGACACGTGAATGTTAATTAACTTGAACTGTAGAATACTGAGACACTGAGAATTAAATAATGAATCTTGAAGAACAGCGAAAAGACGACAACAGAGCTTTTCAGTGCTATTGTTTGTTTTCCCAAGACATTAAGATGATTTTGATTTTTAAGGTCATAGAACAGTTTCTGGTGGTATTTTTGAGTGGCTTTCATTGTCATTATAGTCATGGACCAAAGTGATTGTTGATGGTCTATTCTAGTTTACATGTATGTTCAAGACTACATGTAATGTCCAGAGCCACAGCCATGTTATGTTTTGAAGAATGGGTTGATTTGTGTTTATTGGGGGTAGGGTGTGTTAATATTGCAAAAGTGTCAGCCTCCAGATTTTTTTGGCTTTCCAAGATTGACATCTTTGGAAGCATATCCTGAATACCATGCTACCCTTTTAGTTCACGAGGAAGAAATTAGAGCTGCAGAGGAAAAGTTTGAAGAATCCAAAGAAGTTTGCTATAACAGCATGTTGAATCTCATCGAGACTTCTGATGTAAGTGACTGTATACATCTCACTTAAAGAGCCGTTACTTTTCTCTGGCTTATTTTAATGATTGCTTTGGTTCAAATCTCCTGCTTCATATACCATACATCAACATGTAACCATGTGACTTTTAGTGCAACCTACACTGCAAACATTAGTAACAGTATTAATGTATCAGCCACTATTATGATTACTGCAAAACGAGAGTTGAATAAAAAGAACAATCTTTCCTGAGTGAAGTGGAGGTAAAAACATTCGGGCTCATCCTTGGTGTACCTGCTAAAAGGCCAGTCTCTCTATCAAGCCAATCCTTGGTGTAAGAACCTGAGAAACTCCTAGTTGACAGAAACCAAAAGGAAACGAAAAAACATTTGATAAACAATTAAAGAGAAAAAGTTAACAGGTTCTCAGTAGTAAACACAAGATTTAGGCCATTTTAGCGAAAACAAAAATGGCCTAAACTACTTTACAGTATATGCCCACCCCACTTCATCACCAACCCTCAATGATTTTATTGTAATAATTATCCTTACTGGCTAGGCCTGTTTCTACTGAAGTAAGGAACATACAGTCAGTTATGTATTGTGGTTATTTTATAACAGGTGGAACAAGTAAGTCAGCTTGCAGCTCTAGCAGAAGCGGTATTTGACTATCATAAACATTGCTATGATGTCATGGAAAGTTTGGTTGCAACTCTGAACAACAAGTATGTGACTGCAGCGTACTACACTCCTACACATTTACATTACTACATGTAATAATAACAGCAACAATGGTTTGATTCTGGCTGAAGAAGAAAATAGATAATGGATGACAGTGTATTTGCCTATAACAGTTATCCATAATAGTTTTCATTTTATTATTTCTTTTCAATTCTACATGTACGAGTGGTTTGGTGCATGTTGCCCATAATCATTCTGTCAATTTAAACTTTTCCTTCCTTCATCTTTGAATAATAATATTATTATTCTTTGGTCTTATTTCATATGTCATGCAGCCTCAATATACAGTGTGTGCATAATACTATTATATAATTCACTCAGGTATTTTTTTAGCTTTGCAAATTAATTAATGATACAAAACACAATCTTGTTTGATAGAGTTTCAGAAGCTGCCAGTCGCCCTCGGACTGAACGTCAAAGCATCAGGAGAAATCATCAAGATGACGATAGTGATGAGGAACCTCAGTCTTCATACAGTTTAGCACCAACGCCATCAGCTCCCCCCTCAGCTCCACCCCCAGCGTCAAATGGCTCCTATTTCAGTGGTCCATTCAAAGCTTTGTACGACTTTGAGTCAGGTGTGTTACTATGGATACATGTACATGTACATTTCTTTGGGATGATCCATTACTGGATTTGTGACCAGTGATCGAGATCATGATGCATCAAAAGAACTGATGAATCCTTGTCCAGTTCATTTAGAATCGATTACTATTATTTATTAGTAAAATCCAACTATTGGTCTATTATCAATGCTGTGTTCTGATTGGTTGAGCTCCTACTAGGATATATGTCATAGCCCACTAGTAGCGAAAAGCGCCTGCTTTGAAAACCAAAACAATGGCAGCTGAATCGCGTTTTGCTAGCTAAAGTTGTTTTGTCGTGATATTTTTGACCAACTAGTTGGATTTTACTAAAACAATTATTCGTCTCACCCTCATGGTCTCTGAGTCAATAGCCGATTTGGCCTTCGGTCTCATGGGCTATTGACTTAGAGCCCATTCGGGTTCGAGGATTGTTAAGTATTTTTTGGGTGGCATTGTATGTCTCGTTTTCCCTTATTTTCTGTGGAGAGGGAATGAAACAGTTTTGAAGCTACATTGTAGCATCAGTTTGCCAGCTCAGGACCCCACATTTGAGGTAGCATCCACTGAGCTCCATTTTTATGATGTTGCATAGAATCAAGAAAGCTATTTTAAAGTTGTCCAACACACTGAAGATCAAGGTGTCAAAATTTTTCTTAGATAGAATTTATGTTCTTCATTGAATTGCAGGAGACCACAAAATAGTGGTGCCACAGTTCAAACAATAAATATCAGGAGTTCTTTGCAAATTATTCAATGATCAGTCTCTCCTCCCTCTCTGCCCTTCTCTTATGCACATCTACTGATACCTCCATTTATTTCTGAGTGTGCACTTATTAAACTTGCCTTTTTGTTCTCACTGTACCATTTTTTTTGCTTATTTTTTTAGAAAACGATTCAGAGCTTGATTTTAATGAAGGTGATATCATTCAGGTGGAGGAACAAATTGACGAAAACTGGCTGTCAGGCTCACTTAATGGCAAAACTGGAATATTTCCAACTAATTACGTGGAAAAAATGTGAACAATGTTCAATTGAAATACTAGTAATATCTTTAGGATTTCAATGGGATTAAATCTGTGAGCCAAAAAATTTTGGAGCGAAAAAATAATTTTTGTCATTTATTAAAAATGAGTTGTTGTGTCACACATTAAGAGTAATTTTTAGTGAAAATTACAAAATTATTATTTTGCACATTTCATAATAAAGGCTTAATTGTAAGTTACAGAATCACATTTAATAATAATAACAATAATAATAATAATATACACATATAGCACCTTTCTCTTAGTGATCCAAAGTGCTTTACAATCAGTACTAATAGTAATAAACGTAATATAATTAATATTACAAAAAAAAAAAGAATAACAAATAAAGTAAATAGATAAACAAAAAAATGAATGAATAATAATAATGAAAAACAAACATGAAATTACAACTGAAAAGCACGCTTAAAAAGAAATGTTTTGATTTTTGATTTGAAAGTGCTCAGCTCACAACTGACTGGCATGGAATTCCATAATCTTAGGAGCTGCGTGTGAAAAAGCCATGATAAAACAAACCCCAATAATTTATAATATGCGAGTGCAACAAGTGACAATTTCTTGCACCCCTTTTATAGTGGAAGTTATGCAATGGGATTCCAATATTCCATACTTGTTATTAATAGGGAACATATTTTACAATCATGTACTGGTACATAGAAATGTATTTACATACAATATAATGTTTTGTTTTCTGGTTTCTGCTAATTAAAATAGTACAGTAGAAGCTCTCCTAATGGACATGCTCGTAAGCAGGCAGCTCTTCTTGAAGACACCTCCACAAAACCCTGTTTTTCTCAACTCCCATACAAACTCTGTATTTTTACATTCTCTTAAGCGGCCAGCTGCAGTTACAGACACCATTTTTGTGTCCCGAGGGTGTCTAAATACGAGAGCTTTCACTGTATTATTATACATACAGAAGAACTGCCAGCCCCAGTTTTTCAAAAGTTAGAGAGTCCTATATTTAACCCTTTAAGTCCCAACAGTGCTGAAGATCAATTTTCTCCTAACGATATCCATAGACTATCATGAGCAAAGTCTATGAGAATTAACAAAATGATCACTAAGAGAAAAATATTTGATCTTTTACCAAATTCTCTCAAATAATTCTTCAAGGAAATGTATGGAGACTAGTTTGGAGAATTTGTATGTGGATAATAAGTATTAGGGACTGCCCAAAATTAGATTACCTATTTGATATTGGCCTTTTAAACACCAGGGGTGGGACTGTATAAGGTTACTATTAAACACAACATTTTGAGGTTTTAAATGATGTGTGTGTGGTTGTCATGATCAGCAGGTTTGTGTTCTCTGAAAAGCATTGCATGTTCATATGCATCCAACCAACAGACACGCTTCTAGTTTCTATGGACTGTAAGGTGTGTCTATTAACTGGTGAACCTGTGGACCTAATCATTTAACAGCTTGAAAAGGGGTATAATCACCAGACTTACATGAGTTGAGAAAAGTCAAAACAGGGTTGTTCTGCAGTAAACTGCTTTTCACAATGTAACAGAACTGCTTGTATGCTTTGCTGAATTTCAAAAATACTTGGTAAAGAAAGTTTTGTATGCTACTTGAATTATGAGCAGAAGTACATGTAACTCCAGAAATAAGTACAGGACCAGGGGCCCGTTTCTCGAAAGTCCCGGTAACTTTTCGGGCCCGAAATCAAATTTTCAAATCGAAATATAAAGAATAAGAGCGCGGGTTCTGGCTAGCAAACTACTCCATTGTGTTTCATTAACTGATAGTTTTATCATGCTAGATGAAAAACTATTGAAACCACTACCTTGCATGTAAACAACAACAGCTTTACGGGCCCGTTAATTATCGGGACTTTCGAGAAACGGGCCCCAGGTCCTAACATCAGACATGGTTGCTAACTTTTGGCAATAAAATGAAGAGGTTTACCTGGCCTGGATGTCAGAAAATAGCAAGGGTAGATTCCAGAGGTGAACCCCTTCTTTGAAATGTGCCTTCAAGAGCCTTCATTTCTAGACACAGAAGCTCTCAGAGTTTTTTTTTTGTACAGAAATTGGAAAGACCAATGTCACTGAAAAGTGTATTGGCCTTGTCTTTCTGAAATTTTCTGCATCCACCCCTCAATAGCAGGGGGGGGGGGTATGGGCAAATAGCCCTAGTTCAGGTTGAAGTTTGACTCTGCCTCCAAGCACAGTACTCGTTTCTTTAGTTTAGTTTTTAGTTTTTACTTCTTTTCAATATCAATTTTCATAGACCTTTACTTGCATCTCCATAATGGCAACATCAATGATGTACATAACTGATTGATCACTAACTTTATTTACATGTAACACCACCATTCTTCACATGACTAATGTAGACATTACTTTTGCCAAACTGTTCACTAGATGTAAAGGGCAACAAAAACTTTATCTTTTTTTTTTTTTTACAAATTATTGTTTTCCTTCCAAAAAGTTTTTATTTGGTTGAGACTCTTGTCTTCTTGCTCCATGCAAAGTTTGCTCCATAAGATTTTGCCTTTGGTTTGACTTCATGTTTTTCATCTACTTCATAATTCCATCCTAAATATTTTAACAAAACAAAGAAATAATTACTAAAAAAAATGATTTTACATATTATTTATTCTAGCTATAATGTGTTCCTTTCTGTATTTTTTAAACTCTACCATTTCTTTGTGGGTACTAAAAGGTAATTTGTGATTTTCATGCCATTTTATCCCAGCAATAACATGGCCATTTACTTTAAGGCACCTTAGGATATCTTGGTATAACTTTTGGGGAACAGAGCAACCGTTGAGCAATTTATTCGGGGAAAAGAAAATATTGATTTTGAAGCTCTGTGGAGTAATATAATATTATCACGCAAGTTTTCTTTTCCTCTTTGAAAATGTTATCAAAAGGAAACAACATGCAGTTACCTTGTTTCTCTGCATAGTTTATCGCAGCCTCCTTTGAGCCGAAGGTAAGTGAGATGTTGGACACAGGGTCTGCACTGAAATAGAGGAAGAAAAAAGTAAATAATAAGTACAAAATATAAGATATTTAGATGTTACATGGCAGAAATATAACTTTGATAGTACATACCACAACTAAAAACAATTTTATTTGCTTTCTTACTATCCTTTATAATTATAATTTCAAATTTTAAAATGTGTCCAATCTTTTGACTTCTTGTGTCACTAATGCAACCAATCGTGTGCAAAACCAGGCCTAAAACACACTTTCTGCTTCTTGAGGGTATCTCCATGCAAGAACTTAAATATGACAAACATGTTCCTGTAGAGCACAAACCACTAAACAGAATCACTTACTTTGAGGCCCATCCCATCAATGGATTTTCCCATCTTTCCATCGTATCAAATTCTAAGTGCCATTTCTTTGTGTTAAATGTACCAGACTGCATAGCTGTCCTCGCTGGCACAAAAATTCTGGCTTTGCGTTCTTTGACAATCCAGTCTGGAACACCAGTTGTGGTGTAGATTACCTCCTACATTATACAGTAATAAAAGCCTTCAGAATCATCGTCCCAAGTGAGTAACAATAAAGGAAATGTTTTGGAAGAGGAACTTGATCAAAATAGTTAGGATAGAAAAATTAATGCTAATGTGGCAGAGACAAAATGTACTTCTCATTCTACAGGTCAGGGGTACTGGCCAGTGCTTTACCAATGCATTGTACGGTACGCTAAACTGTTTTTCCTCAATCCTTAACACTTTTCTGGATAGGAGACACTTTTTATCCAGTTAATTTGCCTTATCCACAGTGATATGTAACCTGTCCCGTGGAATGTACCTAGTGATGTGCTTTCATAAAAGTGCCAAATAAATGGCCAAGAGCATGTATTATTTTGATTATTCTACTTATTCTACTTGTTATCCAAATACACACCACATATGTTTACATAAATCGTTATTCACAGCCTGATGGAATAACAGCTGGAAATTTGCATGGGAGGAAATAACAAAGACGCATTTAATTATTATTAAAATAAGAAACTGGGTATTTTTATTCTTAGTATCTTAAGAATTATCTTAATGTTACGTACTACGTGATCTTATGATCGAAACAATATCCTGTTGGCTGAAAATTTAGGTGAATTTTACAAGAAGGCTACAACAATATTGTTCATCTTGAATCTGAGCTATGATCACAAAAAGAACGTATACACCCTTACCTTTGCTTCATCTTCCACCACCTCCAATGCTTTGTCCTGTTTTCCAACCACCGATGGTGAGGATTCTGTGGAATATAACTGGCCAAGTCTCACTGCAGGACGAAGAAAGCGACAAAAATTTACCTGATGAACAACTTTGACCATGGACGCCGCCATCTTGAATATCCACTGGTTGGCGAAAGACTGGGGAGAGGACTTGGGGGAAGTTTTTCCGGGTGGGGAAGGAGGAAGCGGGTCGGGTCGGGGGGGGGGGGGGTTGATTCAGGGGTTTTGCGGAGGGGACTGGAGGACAGCACCCCCTTCAACCAAAGCACGGTGCCAGACAAGGAAATAAATTCAATTCGTTTCGGGGTCCTCATGACGCCATTATCAAGCCGAGATGTGAATAATATCACAATCGAGCAAATGCAAGAGGCGAGAAGAAATAATTTACATACTGGTTAAGTAAACACTGTCATAAATCTTTCATTTTTCTTCGTACTGTAGTTGCTTGTTTAAACAAAACTCTGATTATAAAAAAATTCAAATAAGACCCAATAAAGGGGGTACATTAGGCTTAACTATTTCCGGCTGCGCGATGCACTGGTTGGTTTAATATTGTGAAAAGTTAGCCTGATTCTCAGACGTCTAAGGTCGTTAATGGAAAGTGTGATGATGATATATAATTACACTTAGGAAAGCTGACTTGTCCGTCGGAACAAACGCGAGCGCAAGCTGAAATCCAGACTGCCGATGAGTGTTTCTCAGTCTGTTAGGTCCGCTGAACAACCTCGTCCCCAGGGCTTTTCCTTTAAAAAATAGGTGGGGACAAGGTTATCCGCTGAATTGTGTGTAACTGTCATTGTCTTTTTTCTTCCATATCCAGTTAAATTTTATTTGATTTATTTGGTCCAGTCATTTGCTCGCCCCCACTGGCCTTTGTGGCGAAATGCTGTCAAAAGAAACGTGAATCGGGGAAAGAGACTGTCTTCTTTTCTTTGTTTTTGTTTTGTTTGTTTGTTTGTTTGTTTGTTTTTATCAGCTATTTCGAGAAAGGTTGTCGGAAAAAGTGCACGCGACAATCCCGAAAGGTATTGTGGGTGGTTTTGAGTTCCCTGTTGATCCAAAAAAACTTGAAAGAATGGCAGGAGAAGCCATGGACATATGTTTACGAGTGCTTATGGAATATGGAAAGCAAC